CGTGGCTGGCGGGGCGGGGCGGCCAGGGGACGGGGCTGGCTTGGCGGGGCCAGGCAGTGCGGCTGGGATTGGGGGGGTCAGCCCAGCCTGCGTGCTTGGATGGGCGTGCGGGGCAGCAGGCCGGGGGCAGCAGGCCGGGCCCCTGCTGCCGCCGTGCGCGATGCTTGTTAAGCCTTTGTGCCTGCGCCCCTGCTCTGGCGCTGCAGGCTTCAAGATTGTCAGCGCGCTGCCCGTGGACACGCGGCTGACCACGTACGCCGCCCCCTCTGCCGCCGCTCTGGAGAAGGACGAGGAGGTGGGGGCGGCGCCCGTGGCGCCCGCGGCCGAGGGCTCCACGCCCGCGGCGGCGGCGGCGGCGGCGGCGGGCGGCGCGGGCGACCCGCCGGCCGCGGCCGCACCGCTGGAGGGCGCGGCCTCCGTCGCGGAGGCGGAGGCGGTGAGCGCGGCGGCAGAGGCTGGCGTGCTGGCATCGGCGATCGCAGAGGCGCTGTCCGCAGCGCCCGCCGCCAAGCCCGCCAGCAAGCAGGGCTCGCTGGTGGCGGGTGGCAGCGGCGCGGCGGCTGCGGCCGCGGCCGCGGCTGCGGCAGAGGAGGAGCAGGCGGAGGCTGGGGCGGAGGCAGATGCGGCTGCGCCCGATGCCGCCAGCAACTCGTTCGAGGCCGGGGTTGAGAGCGGCGACACGGCGGCAGGCGGCGTGGCGGCGCCGGCGCCTGCGGCCGAAGCGGTGGATGTGTTTGCTGCCTTTGATGCCGTGACGGCGCCCGCGCCCGTCAAGCAGGCCAGCGGCGCGTTTGGGAGCGCCCAGGCGCTGGCGGCAGAGAGCCCCAAAGCGGGCGACGCCGAGGTGGCGGCGGAGGGCGGCGAGGCGGCGGCGGCCTCGCCTGCTGCTGCGGCCGATGACGTACCGCCCGCTAGTGGCAGCTGGACTGCCTTCTGAGCTGCCACGAGGGGCGTTGGGGTGCCTGGTGTAATGAAATGTGCCAGACGAGCAATGCCAGACGAGCGAACCTGCGCCAGAGGCGGCGGCGTGGCTTGCTGACTCTGCAGCTGCTGTATCGCCCTGCCGGCCTCCAGGCAGCCCCAGAGTGCGAGAATGCAGGGCACTATGCATGAGGAGGGGTCTTTAGCCCGGAAATCATGCGTGTTACCCACATATTGTCCTACAGTAGCGGCAGCTGCCGCTGCAGCTCTTTTGCCGCCGCCGCCGCCGTAGTGGAGGGACAGGAGCGGTGGGGGCGCGGCGCGGCGCCCCACATTATCCTCACAAATGGCCCTCTAAAGGGCTCGAAACTGTTCTAGCCCACTGCAATTCTTGCGTAGCGACTCTTCTGAACGACCAAAAGTTTTGGCGTTACCGCCCCCCGCCCCCCCGCCCGACGGGCCCTTCGGCCCTCTTTCGTTAGTAACAAGCCAGAGGCTGGTCAAGTGCTACCTCCAGGCTCTCTGTATCCCAAGAAATCGAAAGAAACGTTTCACCGTACGCTTCCAATGGAGGTTACCTGCACTGAAGGAAGCCCCCACATTTTCGATCAGCCGATCGCCGCACTGCCATAGCTCGCAGAGTCCTTTGGTTGGCTCGCAGAGTGCTTTGGTCGGCTAAACCCGCGCAGCCGAAGCAGCCAGTTTTGTGTCGCCGCCGCCCCGTCCAGAACCCACTCCCTGACCTCCACAGCCTCAGCCGGCGCGTTTCCTGGCCTGCCGAGCGGCCGCTCTGTCTTCTAAGCCAGCACCCACTGGCTGCCTCGCCAACCCGCGGGGGTTGAGCTTGGCTTGACCCTCCGCCCGGCCTCCCACGCCAGCCCAGCAGCTGCAATGCCGCAGCGGCGAGCTGGGGCGTGGTGCCTGGTGGTGCTAGCGGCGCTGGCAGCTCTGCCTGCTTGCAGCGGTACTCGACCTACGCCCGACGTCAGCGCCCCCGGCGGCCTGCGCACTGGTGAGCGCCCCCCCGCCGGCAGCTTGCCTGCCCTGTACCCTCCCCGGCGCGCCATCTAGCGCCTTGCACTCTGGTCTGGTTGCTGCACTGCCGCAGCGCCTTTACCGCACCCGTGCCCTCCACCCACTCCCCCGCCCCGCCTGCGCTGCGCCCCCCTCGCCTCCCTTTTCCCGCAGGCGGCCTGGCAGCGCCGCAGTTCCCGAGCCAGGACGGCTCGCGGGGCCCGTACAACCGCCGCCTGCTGCTGATGTCGCAGGCGGAGGGCACAGCCACGGTGCTGGAGCCCGAGGCGGCGGCGGTGGCGCTCATGTGGGCGCCGCAGCTGGAGGCGGTGCTCGCTGAGCTGGCGGCCAGCGGCTTGCGGCTCTCGCCGTCAGAGCAGCTGCACCAGAGCGTGGTCGACACGCTGGTGGCAGACGCAGAGGCGCTGGCCGATGAGGTGCGCAGCCGCCGCCGCAGCAGGCGCCGGGCGTGGCGCAGTCTTTGGCCACCGCCGGGGAGCAGCCCGCTTGTGGCTGCTCAGTCAGCGCCCTGGCCCCTCCCGCCCCGCCTCATCCAGCTGCTGTCCCCGCCGCCCTGCAGGTCATCGCTCTCACTCGCAGCGAAATAGCAGCCCTGGTGGCCAAGCTGATGTCATCAATACCGCAGGGCACCTCAGCAGCAGGTGAGGCGGCGCGCCAGGCTGCCCACGCCTCACGCCATTTCCTGCATTCATTGCCTGCCTGCCTGCGAGCCGGGCGGCTGGGGCATGGGGGTGTGGCAGCCTCAGGGCGCGGTCGGCTTGCCAGCACGCGCGGGCAGCTTCCCCACCCGCTCGCACCAGCCCCCGACCTCCCGCCTCCCCTTGCTTCGCACCCTTGCTGCAGCAATGGCCACCTTGTTACACACCACCGACTTCAACGCCAAGTTGAAAGGAGCGGTGGATGACGCGGTGGTGCTCGTCTCAGGGTGAGGCAGGCTGCCCCACGCTTTGCTTGCGGCATACCAGCCCCGCCTCGCCCACGCTTCCCGAGCTCCCCGCCGCACGGCCCGCATTTTTCTGATCCGGCTGGCCCCTGCGCATCCCCGCTGCCTGCCTGCAGAGCCATGGAGCCGCACCTAGAGGTGGTGGCCCAGACGGTGCACTCCGCGCTGGGGCAGCTGGTGGTGGAGCCGGGCGCGCTCGACCCGCTGCCCGCCTTCTCCGACGCCTTCCTGCCCAACTTTGTGGACAAGTTTTCCCTGAACGTGGTGGAGGCCACGCTGCTGCACTCGTTGTGGCAGGACGCGTGATCAGCGCGTGGAGAGGCGCGGTGCGCTGCGGCGCGCCACCAGCCTCTCCTCGAGTTGCATTTCTTGCCCAGCCCATGCTAGCCTACGTTGCCCAATTTTGTACTTGCCTTCTGCTTCTTCTTTTATCTGTCGTGACTGGTCGCTCTCTCTGCCCAGGGCGCCTCCTCTGCCAATCTCTACTGTTCTCTGCCTCACTCTGGCACCCGCATTCAGTCCACCGTTGTGATACGCGACCGTTCAGCGATCCCATACCCATACAATCGCCCTCACCGTTGCAAAACGGCTGCCCCTTGTGTAAGCTTTCATTGCGCACCACCTTTCAGGATGGGGCCCACTGGGCAGCCCCACCCAGGACATGTTCAGTGGAGCAGGGTGCGGAGGACACCCAGGACAGGCGGAGGAGCCGGCGCTGCGGGCAGGGTGAGGGTGCCATGCCACCACCCGCCGCCAGCCCCGCCGGTCCCTGTCCTCACTCAAAAAAAGCCTGGACCCTTTTGTACCTTCTTCTTTGGGGAAAATGCTTGTGGCAATGCACTGCAAAGACGAAGGGGAGGGGAGCTTCGCCTCAGCTCCCCTTGGGTCAGCAAGCCTTGCATGCCTTTGAAACATCAAGGTTTGGTTAGGTTTGCGCTCTGGCGCGAGTTTCCACGGCTTCTAAGTGTGTGATTGGACGATGAAGGGCGCAGACCGGGGCATTGAGGAGGTGGGACGCGCAGGCGTCCTTGGGTAGTACTTGAGGCGAGCGGGCTCATAGCGACGACGACGTGCCAGCAGCCTCCTGCATTCTCCCATCCACACCGCCCCGCACCTTGCAAGCCTTCCCCACACCAATCCCCAACACGAACGCCCCGTGGTGGTAGCACTCCTACCGAGTCCTCCCCGCCGCCACCCTCCCGCATTGAAACTGCAGCCCATATGCCGCGGTTAGCAGCCCCCCTGGCAGCGCTGTTGCTGCTGGCGTCGCTGCAGAGCGCGGCAGCCTCCCGCCCTGCCCCGGCCGCCGCCGATGGCGTCCAGGAGACTGCAGGTAGGCAGCCGCCACCCGCCACCCCCAACAGCCTCGCCCAACAAGCCTGCTTTGCTTTACTGTTGCGGCTGCAACCTGCCTTTGGGCAGCCTGGCTGGTTTCTGTCATCTCGCAGCACAGGACAGAGGCGTCTGCGCGCCGCGCTTCCCGCCCACACACACTCCCACCCCACTCCTCTCCCACCGCCATATCTGACCGCCGCGCCTCCCTCCTCGCCCCCTTCCCGCAGATCTGCTGCAAGCCGCCGCCGCCACCCTTAGCCGCCCGTCCTCGGAGCAGTACAGCCGCCGCCAGCTGCAGCTGCACCAGCCGCAGCCGCAGCAGGGCGCCGCCGCCGCGCAGCAGCAGCAGCCTGTGGAGCTGAGCGCAGTGGAGGCGTCCGAGGCAGCGGTGGTGGGCCTCACCTGGGGCTTCCACTTGGAGCAGCTGGTGCAGCAGCTGGCTGGCCGCGGCGTGGCGCTCGTGCCGCAGCAGCAGCAGGACGCCGCCGTGGCGGCGCTGGCGGCGCACGTGGAGGGCCTGGCCGCGCGTGTCATCGCCGCCACGCGCGCCGACATGGCCGCGCTGGCCTCGCAGCTGCGCGCCTCGGTGCCGGAGGGCACCTCCGCCGCGGCCATGGCCACCCTGCTCCAGAGCTCCGCCTTCCACGGCAAGCTCAAGGGCGCGCTGGACGACGGCTTGCAGCTGGTGTCTGCGGCGCTGGAGCCGCACCTGGAGGGCGTGGCCCAGACGGTGCACGCCGCGCTGGGGCAGCTGGTGGTGGAGCCGGGCGCGCTGGACAGCCTGTCCGCCTTCTCCGACGCCTTCCTGCCCACCTTCAGCACCACCTTCTCGCTGACCATCGTGGAGGCGACGCTGCTGCGCACGCTGTGGCACGACGACGCCTGACCGCCGCACGCCCCGCCCCGCGCTGCAAACGCGCGGCGTACCCCTCCTTCATCATCAGTGTAGATGAGCCGTCCCCCGCTCGACGGGGCGCCCCTGACCCATTTTTTGCTGCAAACATCACCAATGAACCCACCCGACTTCTTTGACAACTTCTTGAACTAGCATGTCCCTCCCCTCCCTGTGCACCGCTGCCACCCAAGGCAGCACACTTTTTCGCCTGAGCAGCCACCCCCGCGGTACATGCCTCGGTACACCCTGTCCATTACCCGACTTCCGTTACCAACATTTCATGCTGTCATACTGTTACCTTGCTCTTCTTTGCTGCAACACAATGCTCAGCTGCCGGCGCCTCTGATGTTCGCCGGGCATTTCTGTTAATAGCAAGCAAGCCAGTACACAACAAGGCAAGGAGGAAGGAGACTGGGAGTGAAACAGTCGTGGAAAGGTACAGATGGTGCGGTACAAGAGAAAGAAACAGGGGTTGAATGAATACATGCCTGCACACTACTCTTCTGCTTGCTCAGGGGCCGGCCCAGCCGCCGCCACCACCGCGGCTGCCACCAGGGGCGGCAGCGGCTGCTGAGCGCCCATGCCCGATGACAGCAGGCGCAGCGCTGCCTCGGTGGTGGCCACAGATGCCTGCAGGCCCTGGCCGCGCATGGAGGCAGCCAGATCCCCCAGCGCCGCCGCGCCGGCGGCTGCGGCTGCGGCTGCGGGGCTGCCGTCTTGTGGCGCTGGCAGCGGGACTGCCGCCGCCGCCGAGGTGCTGAGGCCAGCCTCATCCTCGGCATCCTGGCTGGCCGCATCTGCTGGCCCTGCCGCCCGGCCGGCCAGCTCAGCCTCGTACTGCTGCTCAGCGAGCACCGCGATCCCTGGGCCCAGCTGCCGCTGGTGCAGCGCCGCCGCCGCCTGCGGGCTGCCCACCACGAGCGTGATCTGCGGCGGCGGGCGCTGCGGCGGGGGATGGCCCTCGGCCACCACCGCTACCCCCGGCCCCAGCTCCTGCTGCAGCTGCTGGGCTGCCTGCGGGCTACCCACCACAAAGGTGACCTGCAGCGCCCCCTCCTCCTGCTCCCCCTCCGCCTGCTGCCGCATTCCTGCCGCCCTGCTGCTGGCGGCCGCGGCGACGGTGCTCGAGCCCGGGCCGGCGGCTGCCGCCAGGGCAGCGGCGGGCGCGGGTGGAGGCGGCAGCGGGCCCAGCGGCCGCTCCGTCAGCCCTGCCGCCTCCACCTCCGCAGGGAAGCGGCCGGCCGCGGCGGCCACCAGGCGGGACAGCAGCTGCACGCCGCCGCCGCTGCCGCCGCCGCCGCCGCCGGCGCCGGCGCTGGCGTGCCGCACGTACGCGGCCAGCTCGGCCCACCCCGCGCCGTCTGCCTGCTGCGGCAGCAGGGAGGCCAGCGCCTGCATGACCGTGCGCTGGTCTGACGTGAAGCCCGGCCGCGGCGCCGGGGCTGCGAGCGCTGCCAGCTGCGCGTGTCTTGGGGCGCCTGGCGTCAACCCGAACAGCGGCGCCACAGCAGGCCGCCCCCTCGCCGCAAGGAACGGTGCGCCTGCAGGTGACAGCAGCGGCAGCAGCGGCGGCGGCCGCGGTGGAACCAGAACAGCCACGCCAGAGGGAGCAGGGGTGCAGCAGGTCGGGCGGGTTGGACACAGGCAGGTCCCCACACACAGGCACAGCCGGCCACGCTTGCTCACCGCTGGGGCGAGGCCCGCCACCCCCTGCCTCGCTCTCGCTGCCTGCCTCGCTCTCGCTCTCGCTGCCTGCCAGCGGCGGCGCCCAGCCGTCGCTGCTTGCATCGCTGACCATGCCAGGCACGCTCTCGGAGCTTGCAATGCTGCCTTCCAGCCCGGGCGCGCTCTCCTCATCCTCGTCGCTGCTCCCGGTTGCCTGCAGCGGCAGCGGCGCATCTCCCTGCGAGCTGCCCAGGCTACGTGGGCGGCGGCGGCCAGCTGGGCGGCCGCCGCGCCTCGCACCATCGCCCTCGGGCAAGCCTGGGCTGCCGCCGTCGCTGCAATGCACAGGTGGCAGGCATGTGTGGCGTGGGACAAGTGGATGGGAGGCAGAGGCAAAGGCGAGAGACACACAGGGCACACAACCTGCTTCCAGGAGCAAGGCAGGCGGCAGGGCAGCACCTATAGGGTTCCGGTAGCGGCGGCGACCCATCGCTATGGCCGGCGCCTGCAGGAACTGGCAGGCGGGCGGGGCCAGGTGAGAGCAAGCAGCCCGTCAGCGCCTTTCCCTGCGCAGAGAGCTGGGGAGGCGTGGCGAGGGCAGGAGGAGTGCAGCTGACAGGGCGCTGCACCCCACCTTGCAAGAGGCGGGCACGGAGGCGGCGGCGGCGAGATGGGCCCTCACCGCCGCTGGCCTCTGACCCTTCCGTGGACGCCAGGCTGGGCGTGGCATCGCCGCCGCTGCCAGCACCAGCGCTCTGCACGGCTACCGCGCCCCCAGGGCCCAGCCCCGGCAGCTGTCCAAACACCGCGTTGCGACGCGGGCGCCGGTGCGGCGGCTCTCCCGCGCCGCCCGCCGCTGCCGCGGGGCCCGCCTGCTCCTCCTGCTGCTGCCGCCGTCGCGGGCTGCCGCCCGTCGGGCGAGCGGCACGCAGGCGCTGCGCCACCCGCTGCCCCTCGTCCTCGCTGCCCTCCTCGCTGCCGCTAGTTGGCCCTGATGGGGAGTCCAGGCCAGACGCTGCGCCCAAGAGCTCCCGCATGTCCTGGCTGCCGGCCTGGCCGCCCCTGGCTGAGCGAGAGGCGCCCGCCAGGCGCGACCGGCCCTGGCGCGGCGCCAGCGCCGCCGCCTGGCGCAGCATGCTGCCGCCGCCCTGGGAGGCAGCCGAGTCGCCGCGCTGCAGGCCGCCGCCGCCGCTGGCAGAGTCCACCCTGTGCAGGGGGCGGCCCAGGGAGGCCGGGCCCCCGCCCACGCCGCCAGCCTGCTGCGGCGCCGTCGGGCGCGCCCCCGGCGGACCCGCCGCGCTGCCGCTGGCGGCTGGGCTGCGCGACGCGGGCGCCCGCGGCGAGGCCTGCAGCCCAGGGCCCGGCCCAGCAGCAGCGGGGTCAGCAATGAGGGGCTGGAGCCAGCGGGTGAGCAGCAAGGCATGCCCGGCAGGCACAGCGCAGGACTGGCATGCTGCTTGCTGCCTCGCAATCAAGCCCGACGCGGGAGGGCCCCACCTGCCGCCTGCCGTGGGGCACGCCCTCCGCAGCGCAGGCAGCGTGCCTGGCAGGGTCCAGCGCTGCAGGCGGGGGCCAGGTGGGCAGGCAGGTGCGCTGTGAGGCCGCCGCGCAGCCGGGGGTGCATGGATGGGCGCGACGGGTGGGAGCAGCACAGCCAACCAGGCACCAAGCCCACCTGTGGCGAACCCTTGGTCAGCCATCAGCTGTGCGTGGAGTCGGGCCGAGGGGTCTAGGCCATCAGGGATACGCGGAGCTGCCAAGGGGGGTGGGAGAGGAACGGTAGGCGGCTGGATGCGTTGGCGTGCGGCCGGGAGCAAGCAGTCAGCGGGCACACACGCCGTCTAGCAGGCAGCCCAGCGGCAGCAGGCGCACCTGCCATGGAGCGTGCCGGCATGACCACGCCGCCGTTGGGCTCAGCCAGCAAGCCATCAAAGGGCTGCAGGCGCAGTGAACGATAGAGGGAACAGCATCAGAGGGAAAAGTTCAAGCGTCGCATGCACGATGCTGCGCTTGATGCGTGCTGGGCGTGTGTGCACGCGGATCAAGCTGGCAGCGGCGTGGCCGACCCACTTACCCACATCAGCCCCCCGCCACCGCCCCCCAGCAGCCCGCCGCCGCCGTTGCGCATCACCATGCCCAGCAGGTCCTGGACTGGCAGCTGCTGCAGCAGGCCGTCGTTCAGCCCCATGCCCTGCATGTACTGCTCCAGCTGCTGCAGTACACAGGCAGCCGCCGGGCAGAAGCGCAGCACCCCGCATCAGTTTCATGTGGAGGCAGCACCTGCGACGGCTGTGGACGCCACAGACGCAGGCGGGCGCGCCACCGACACACAGGCAGGGCCCAGCCCTGCGGCAGTGCACACACCTGCGGCAGCACGCCACCCAGCAGGCCGCCTCCAAAGCCGGGGAAGGCGGGCCCCGCCTCCTCCCCTTCACCATACTGCTCCAGGGGGTCGAACAGCTCTTCCAGGAAGTCGCCCTGGCTGCCCTCTGAGTCGCTGCGGTCAATCTCGTCCAGGCCGCCGAGGGCAGCACCGCCGCCACCGCCGCGCCCCGGCGCCTGCTGCGGCGCCTGCTGCCGCGCGAAGAAGCCGGTCTGCGCGGGAGGTGGGCGAGAGTGGGGGAGGCAGAGCGGCACAGGGGGTGAGGGTGCTGGGGCGGTTGATGCTGGAAGCTCAGGAGCCCGAGAGCAGGGCTGGCACAAGGCAGCGATCGGCAAGCAGTTTGTTAAAGATCTAAACTGACAGCAGGCCGGATGCGCAGAAGGGTGCAGGAGGGAGCTGGCGGGCCCACCGGCTGCAATGGCTTGCATTACCTGCAGGCCGCTGCTGCGTACACCGCCACGGCTGCGGCCCTGTCCGCCCGGTGCGCCGTCACCCTCTGCAGGCAGCGTGCAGGAAGCAAGTGGATGCACCTTCACCTTCACGCAGCGGTTGAGCGGGAAGAGTGTAGCTAGCAACGCAGCAGCAAGTGGCAGTGCTTGCAAGCGGGTGGGCGGGCGGGCGACTGGCGGCAGGCGCGCCGTCGGGCGACGCACCGTCGCTGCTCCCGCTGCTGGCGGCGGAGATCAGCGAGGGCGGGCTGGAGTGGCTGCCCGCAGCCTCCAGCTCGTTCTCTGCGCCACTGACCAAGCCGGGTGGGCAGTCCTCGCCCTCCTCCAGCGCCGCTGGGGGCGGGCTGCCGGCCCTGGGCTCTGCCATGAGCCCCCAGATCACAGCGCTCTCCAGACAGGGAGGCCACTGAGCAAGCCGAGCTCCGTTTTGTGCCAACGTTGCTCAGAGCGGGGACAGCTCTGTCTTGAAGGCAACAGCGATTTGCTGAGGGCTTAGGAGCCTGCAGCTGGCACTCCTGCTAAGGGCGTGCCAGCAGTGCGACAGGAAGTGCGCCAGGCTCGCTCTTTCAGCTGCGCAGCAATCCGTGAAGGGCCGTGCAGAAAGCGTGCGTGGAACATGCATGAATGTAGCCACTCCCGAGCGTCCATGAGCACAGGTGCCGCCGCCTTGGCGCCCGGCTGCACATACGGCTGCTGTGGCAGGACCAGATAGGCCTTTACATCAACATGGTGGGTGCAGCGGAAGTAGCAATGCTGCAGGATAACTTGAATTGGCATAGAAAAAGAACAGGGCGCATGTGTGGCACATGGCGGCATCTCTCGGCACTTGCTTGACACCTGACGCAGGCGGCGGGGAAAACAAGCAAACTAAAAACTCAATGCCCACAAACACGCTCTGCTACTAGGCTGTCTATAGATAGCGCCAAGGCGCTGTGCCCTCAGGCCTTGACCTGCGCCTTGCGCTTCGCCTCATACTCGTCCAGCGTCAGCACATCCGAGTTCTCCACGAAATCGCGGGGGGAAACGGCATCGGGGCCGACATCCAAGTCCTCCTCCTGCATCTCCCTGGGCAGGCCGAGCGGCACATGGACACAGCGGAAGTCAGCGGGTGCTCATCTGGGCTGGGCTTACACTGAAAGGACCCCGCCATGGCAAGACGGTCAAGACCACTGTTGGATGGCATGCCAGCAGCTTACTCGGTGACACGGTCGCCCTCCACGCCCCAGTTGGCCTTGCCGGCGCCCCCCTTCTTGGCCACCTCGTGCCCACGCCCGGTGCCGTCCTGGCGGTCCAACCGCTCGTCCTTGGCGCGCTCCACGTGGTGCCTGTAATCTCCTACATGGCTGGCTCCAGAAAGGCAGGGCCGCAGCGGCAGACGGCGTGGGGCGTGGCCCGCAGCCAGCAGCAGCAAGGTCCCGTCCCGCACACCGCCACGATCAGGTCACATGGAGCCCGCAGCCATGGCACGCAGCGCCAGAAGGCATCGAGGCAGGGTCCGCAGCCGGCAGCGGCAGGGCCGCAACCCGCCAGTCACCGCGATCTGGACAGATGGCGCCCGCCGCCATGGCGCCTGCCAGCAGCCCACCCCGCGACCTCGCACAGGCCCCGACACCTCCTCCCGGCCCCCTGGTGCTCACCGCAGTGCATCCTTGCTCACAGGCGGGTGCTTGTCCATACTTTCACTGCAGGGCTCTGCAGCTGAGTGCTTCTGCTAGATGTGGTGTCGGATTGAACGATGGTGATTGCACGATAGCAGGAGAAGGTGTGGTGGGGCTGCATGGGGTTCTTCCGCCACGACACCCCTGCCCTGACGTAAACCAGCCTCAGGGCTCAAACCCAAGCTCAATCCGCGCCATTTCGGTGTCGTTGTTCACATTTTGCGTGTCGCGGTGGGCTGAGCAACCGCATTGACCAACACTGGACGCAATGCCGGGGCTGGCGGGGGAACCGCGCCCGTTTTTCTCAGCCAAGAATTTGCTGGAACGACAGCGCCTGGTGAGCGGCCACCTGGGGCAGGCGCCGCCACCCCGCCACCCCGCTGGCGCCTTCAAAGCGCACGCCGCCGCTTGCCTCCACTGCTGCCAACAACCCTGCGCTGTTGTTCGCAACTATACAGGGAGCGTTCTTAGAAGAACTGAGGCGGCTAAAGGCGAGATTGGCACTCTGCCGATTGCATTTTATGCAGGTTTGGAACTAATTTGCCTCAACTTGCCGCTGCTGCCTGCCTGCAGGGGCCGCTGGAAGGTCCTGCCAAGCCTCCCGAGCTCATCAAGTTCACCACAGCACAGTCGGTCGGCGACGCCCTGAAGGTGCGGGCCAAGCCCCCTGCTTGTTTGCCATTATTTTTGTGGTACTGCCCACCAACCCTGGCCTTCCAACCTCCAGGCGCTGGCCGCCTACAACATCCTGAGCGCCCCAGTCAGCGATGCCGCCACCGGCGAATATGTGGGCATGGTGGACGTGGCAGACATCATGGGCAGCATGTTGCGGGGTGCGCGCCGCCGCACGCATGCTGCGCTCAGCCAGAAATGGCAAACCGGCTCTGCTTGCTGGCTTACCTACCTGCCCCAGCCCTGCATCTCTGTGCATGGGACCTCCTCCGCTGCTGCCGGTGACCGAAATGCTTGCGTCGCTTGCCTTGCCTGCCTTCACGCACACCATTTGCAGGCGTGTATCCCGAGCTGCTAGAGAAGGGATACCTGGAGCAGCACAAGCGGCTGTCCATCTCAGAGCTGCAGTCAGGTGGGCGCAGGTGGCGTGCCAGGTGAAAGGCAGCAGGCCTGGTGGTGTCGCATGCAGAAACCTCCCTACCGCAGCGTCCCAGTGGCGCTGGGTCCGGGCCTACACGCAGCCTGCCGGCGGGCGCCGCGTCTGAGCTTGGGGCTCGCCTTGCCGGCCGGTGCAGTGGGTGTGGAGTTTTGCTCCCGGAAGCTGAGCAACCTGCTGCATGGAGGCGACCTCTGGTTTAAAGGTGGGGCGCCGAGGTGGGGTGCCGCGCTGCATGCTGCCGCCTGCCCTCCACTGCAAGCGGCAGAGGCTGTGCCGCCACAAGCCGCCATGCCCAGCCACCCACTCGCTTCTGCGAATCCCTTCGATGCCCTGCCACCTCGCTCTTCCTGCCTGCAGGCGACACAGAGTCCAATCTGCTTGAGGTGGTGGAGACGGGCTTCCGGGTCAGGTGGGCTGGCATGCCGCGTGGACGGCCACTGGATGCACCTGCCAGTGCTTGGCATGATGCGGGTTCCGCCATGCCCCGCTTTCCGTCACCTTTCCGCTGTTCCAGTCCACCCCGCTCCGCCTGCAGGGCCCCCCGCAAGCTGCACGTGCCCCACCACCACCTGAAGGTGCACCACCGAGTGGCGGTGTTTGACATCCTGCCAGGTAGCTGCCTGCGCCCGTGGAGCCCCGCTGCCCCCCCAGAGCAAGAGCTGCTGCAGTGTGAGGCCCACCCACCCGCCGCCTGCCCACCTCCCCATCCCACCCCCCACATCGCCGCCCCGGGCTGCTCGCCCTTGTGCCTCAATATGCGTGCGGGCGCTGCCCACCCGCCGCGCTGCTGCAGGCGAGCAGACGCCCGATGGGCCAGTGCCAGAGTGGCACATCACAGACATCGTCAGCCAGACAGACGTGGTGCGGTTCCTGGCGGCGCAGATAGACAGGTGGGGGCGGCGGGGAGGGCATGGGAAGGCCTGGCGCTGCTGCACTCTTGCACCCTGAAGTGGGGGCCGCGCTTGGCCTTGCCAGTGCTGCCCACGGCAGCCTCCATCCTTCTGCTGGCCCCCTCTGCTCGTGGGTTGGCCAACCATCTCGCCCTGCCGCGCCGTGCCGTGCCGAGCAGGCTGGATGCGGCCTTTAACCTGCCGGTGTCCCAGCTGGGGCTGGTCACCCACGATGTGGAGACAGTCCCCGGCAGCACGCCTACACTAGCAGGTGGGAACAAGTGGGGATCCTCATCGCTTTTGGGCTCTCAGCGTGAAGCCATCTAGCGTCAGCTGCTGCTTGGGAGTCACCTGTCATGAAGTTTTCCTCCTTGCCCTCGCCCCTGGCTTTGAAGAAAGCACTGTGCCAGCCACCAGCCTGCCTGCCTGCCTGCCTGCCCGCCTGCCCGCCTGCCCGCCTGCAGCCTTTGCCGCCATGCACCGCAGCGGGCTCTCTGGGATCGGCGTGACCGAGGCGGCGGGCGGCCCACTGCTGGCCAACCTCAGCATCAGCGACCTGCGCGGACTCACACCAGACAGGTCTGCTGCTGCCCACCACCCCGGCCCCGCCGCCCGCTGCTGCCAAGCCCGCTCCACAGCTCTAGCAGGGTTGAGCCATAGCTTGCCCGCCTGCCCACTGCAGGTTTGGCGCACTGGCACTTCCGGTGGGTGCCTTCCTCCTGCTGCAGAAGGGGCGCGGCCTGCGGTGGGAAGACTGCCTCACCGACCAGCTGCCCGAGGCGGTCAGGGTGGGTTGCGGCCCGGGAAGTGCTTGCCGCCAGCCAGCCAGCCAGCCAGCTCTGCTGCTGCCCATCCCGTGTCCTTTCTGCCACCTTGTGCACACACACACGCACGCCTGGTTGTGCCAGCCTTGCCACCGGCCAACCACTCCTCCCCGTGGTGTCCTGGCCGTGCAGGAGGGGCGGTGGAGCGAGGCGCTGGCCAGCATCCCGCTGGTGACCTGCGGCCCTGAGGCGGCTCTCAGGGAGGCCATCGGCCAGCTGGTGGATCACAAGAAGCACAGGCGAGTGCTGTGTGGCATGTGGGAGGCAGAAGGATGTGGCGGTGGAGCATGCGGGGCCGGTGTCAGAGGCAGGGGCAGGGGCTCGCCACACTGGCTTGCCCACACTCGCTGTGCTGTGCTTCCGCCCCCGCAGGGTGTACATTGTGGATGGCGAGGGGCGGGCCATCGGCGTGCTGACGCCCACCGATGTGCTGCGCATGGTGTCTCAGTGATGCTGTGGTGCCGACGCACCCACAGGGGCTCCCAATAGGTTGCTGCGCTTGCTTTCATGCGCTCTCCTCGCACCGTTCAAGAGCCCACTCACATGGGCTTTGCCCCAGTTCATGCCTCATGCCTTCCAAAGAGTAAATTTTACTTGCATGCTGCTCAGGCTACTGCGATAGCCCATACCAAGGGCCAGTCATGTTGGGCAGGGGCAGATCATCCAGCCCGGGGCCCGCCGCCATCCGCCAACCCCATGCGGCCACCTCATCCGCCTGATCCCCATCATGGTCTCGGCGATCACCGGCCCTCCGCTCCTCGTTGGATCGAACCTACTCCACAGCAGCCGTAGCTTTGGCTTTCGGCGCGCACAAGAAGTTGGGCCGGGTTCTGGCTACCCGCGGATTGAGGCGCGGCTGTCGTGCTGCATTGGCTCCACAGCGATGGGCAAGAAGAGCAGAAACACCAAGGCGGCCGCAGGCAGCGGAGCCCCAACCCCGACACCAGCGTTGCCGGCCAGCCAAGCTCTTGACCTGCTGGGCGCAGACGATTCCGTCACGCAACGGCTTGGAGAGCTACTGGACTCGATCAGGTGAGCGGGCTGCGCCTGCGCTGCCGCCGCCGCTGCCCTGCGGACCGCTGCCGCCGCAAACTGCTGCCGCTGCCCGTCCCCTCCAGCAGATGCCGGACTGTTTTGGAGCGGCTGAAGAAGGCTGGCTACAGCGAGCATGTGGCCCAGGTAATCCCAGATGTGTGGTGCCGATGAGCCGCGGCCACACCTGCCGCCGCCGCCGCCGCCTACCTGTGTGCGGCTCCATCCTGGGGAGCTGAGCATCCCCCCAAGAGTTTGCCCAGGTTCACCCAAGCATGCCACCATGCAAGCCCATGGGCGGCTGTGCCGAGAGCCCGCTCCCCTCCAGCACCCATGCCAGCCTGCTCCCTGCCGCCTGCCTCTCCCAATGCAGCGCGCGTGCCTGGAGGTGCACCAGGCCAAGCGGGAGGTGTCTTACGACTCAGCACTCAAGTGGATCCGCCGCCACGACGTCACCAAGATCGACAAGTGAGCCGGGAGAGAGGTGCCGGGGCTCTGCGTTTTATTGTTGGCTCACGCCGACCGGCGGCCGTCTCCACATCGACCACGCCGCCTCTCTGCGAGATGCTCTGGCGGCCTCCTGCACCACTTGGGTGCCGCACTGTCGCAGCGCCCGAATGCCAGGGTTGGTGCTGCGTCCGCTGGCTGGCTGCACCCGCCATATCCGTGTTGTGTCTGTCGCTGCAGGCCGCTGCAGCCGCTGGAGCTTCTCAAGTACCTGTCTGAGATTGTGGTGAGCCTGGTGGAGCGCCTGCCCAAGCCCGACCCCGCCCAGCTACAGCGCCAGCTGGCGCCAGAAGTGCGCGCCGCCCCCGCACTGCTCACCGGCGGCGCGGCAGGTGGCGGCGGCGGCGGCACCGGCGGCGCAGCAGGCGCCGTGGCAGCCAATGGCCAGGGGGCGGTCGGGAGCGGCGGCGGCGGCGCCGCTGCCGCCGTGGCGGCGGCACGCCAGCGCCAGGCGCAGCAGCTGCTGCTGGACCCGCACTGGCAGGCCTCGCTGGCTGGCGAGGACGACGTGCTGCGCAAGCTGGCGACGGCGGAGGCCGCCGAGGGCGACCTGGAGGCGATGCTGCTGGAGCTGGGAGCCCTGGAAGAGGCCTCTGCCTCCGCCTCCTCAGCAGCCGCCACCTCCTCCTCCTCCGTGGCACCAGCACCAGCCGGCACAGACGCAGGGAGCGGCAGCGCAGGCAGCGAGCTGGCACTGGTGGCCAGCGGCTCGGCGAGCTTGGGCGCCAGCGTTGGCGGCGGCGCAGGCGCCGGCTTCACTGGCCGGGTGGCGCAGCAGATGCTGGGCCTGCAGCAGCAGATGAGCAAGGCGATGCAGAGCCTGGCCAGCCTGCGCCGCAGCGGCTCCGGCAGCGGCGGCGGCAGCAAGACGGAGGCTGCGGCGGAGGCGGCGATAGCCGAGGTGGCAGCGGCAGGGGCTGGAGAGGCGGCGCAGCAGGCGCCGGGTGCGGGGCCGAGCACCAGCCCTGGCGCTGGCGGCGCGGGAGGCAGCGCTCATGCCTCGCCAGCGGTGCCGCCGCCGTCGACGACCTTGCCAGTTGGTTTGTCTGCCGAGCAGCAGGCGCTCATCCAGGAGCAGCTGTCCAAGCTGCAGCTGAGCCAGGGGCAGCTGGCCTCGCTGCGGGCCATGCTGGGGCCAGGCGAGCACCGCGCTGCTGCTGCTTGTGCTGCGCCACGACTGCGTGTACTGCTGCCGCTGCGGCACCTAGGTGGTTGCTGGCTGCGCCCACCTGCCCGGTCAGCCATGCGTGGCACTCGTCTGCATCCTCCCAGCCCTCCCCAGCCCTGCCTGCTCTGCAGGCGTGGAGGTGTACACAGCTGAGGAGTACAGGGAGCACAACCCAGGTGAGGTGGCGCTGAGGTGGCGCTGAGGTGGCTGCCGGCATGGTGCTCTCGGCAGAGGTTTGGTCAGCGGGGCATCGTCAGCAGGTGCATTCTTGCTGCCCAGGAGCAGGTGGCTCGCTGCCAAGGAGCCAGGTGCGCTCTGCTCCCTGAAAAACCGGCGCCCTGCTGGCCGCACCGCGCCTGCAGATGCGGACTACGACTCGCTGCCGGCCATAGACCTGCAGCTGCTGGGCCCCCAGCCGGCAGCCGCGGCGCGCCCAGGCAGCGCTGCCAGCGCACGCGCCGCCATCGCCCCGCCCCTGCCACCCGCCGCCGGCGCAGAGGCAGCTGCTGGGGCCCCAGCCGGCAGCGCCGCGGCGGCCGCCGCGCCGGGGGAGCCGCAGGCGTTGGCAGCAGGTGCGGCGCTGCTGGCCTGCTTGGTCACCAGCTAATGCTGGCTTGGCGCCTCTGCCGGGCGCCGCCAAGCAGTCCGCAAACCCGCCTGCCCGCCCACCTGCCTGCGTGCCTATGCGTCGATGCCCACACCGCGCATTCACCCCACCAAGCTGCCCCGCCCGCCCCGCAGAGCTGGCCAGCCTGCGGCAGCACCGCGAGTGGGCCGACCGTCGCATCGCGCAGCTGATCCGCCGCGTGAGCGAGGCGGAGCGGCCGGTGCGGGAGGAGGCGGCCAAGCTGCTGCGCGAGGTGCAGGCGCTGAGGGTAGGTGGCGCCGGCGCCACGGCAGGGAGGGGAGCGAGGGCCAGGAGAGGGAGGGCCAGGGGGGAAGCCGCCAGGGGGCTGCCTGGCGGGGCGGCAGCAGTCTGTGCCTCAGACACGTGCAGCTGCGGGCAGTTGCTTCTTGCTACTCGCTCACGACGAAGTGGCAAGCGTTTGTCCCCGTGCATGGCATCCGCTCATGCGTCGCCTGCTTCTGCCCCTGCCCGCCCCGCCTGGCCGCAGGTTGAGAAGGAGGCTATGAAGGGGAGGCTGCAGGAGCTGGAGCGCAGCATTGCCAAGGTCAAGGAGAGCACGTATGTGGAGGCTGCGCAGAAGAGGTGCGGGGCGGCACGCCGCTGCCGCGTGTTGCGCTGCCTACCTGTGCTGTTTTGCCTGCGCCTTTTTGGATGGTGCCTTCTTGTATGTCCCTGGATGGCCCCTGGATGGCCCCTGGATGGCCCCTGGATGGCCCTGTCTGCCTGCCTGGATGGCCCTGCCTGCCCTGCCTGCCTGGCTGCCTGCTTCTGCCTGCCTGCCTCTTGGCCCACACCGTGCCGCTGCCGCCGCCCTTTCGATCTCTGCAGGGAGTTTGAGCGCGCGGCGGCGGTGGCGGCGGCGGAGCTGAAGGCTGCCAGCCTGCGCGAGGCGGAGGTGTCGGCTGAGGCCCGGGAACTGCAGAAGCAGCTGGCACAGGAGCGCAAGCGCCGTGAGGCCGCCGAGGCGCGCAGCAAGAAGAGCGCCTCGGATGCGGCTGGCGCGGCGTCGGCGGCGGCCACGGCGGTCGCCCAGGACGAGGTGGAGGCGCTGAGGCGGCAGCTGGCGAGGCAGCAGCAGCTGGCGGAGGAGCGGCGGTGCGTGGCGGCGGCGGCCGAGGCGGCGGCGGCAGAGGCCGTGGCTCGCGCCGGCATCGCCGACAGCGCCGCCAAGGGGCGGTGCGAGATGCTGGCTGCCGAGAAGGCCTCGCTGGCGGTGGCGCTGGAGGAGGCGGCACGCCACCAGCAGCGGGCGGCGGCAGAGGCGGAGGAGGAGCGCGAGAAGCTGCTCGGGCAGCTGGCTGCTGCCCAGGGACGGGCCGCGCAGCTGGAGGCCGGGGCGCAGGGCCTGCAGCAGCAGCTGGCAGCGGTGCGTGGCGAGGCCGCCGCCGCGGCGCAGCGCGCGGCCGAGGCGGAGGCGCACGCCGCCGCCGCCACCGCCGCCGCCGAGGCCGCCCGCCAGCAGCTGGCCGCGCTGGCGCAGCAGCAGCAGCTTCTGGGCGGCGGCTCTGCGCTGTCCAGCCCAGACCCGGCGCCGTCGGCACCCACGCCGGCCCCGCCCACCAGCCGTAGCAGCGACGGCGGCAGCGCTGGCGGCGGCAGCCTGTTTGGAGGCGCCGGCATGGGCATGTGGGGCGGGGGCGGCCTGTTTGGCAGCGCCCCGCTGGATGCGGCGGCCGCCAGCAGCCCCGCGCCCTCGGGCCCCGCCACGCTGTCGCCCAGCATGGGCAGCAGCTCTCCCATGAGCCACAGCGGCGGCGCCACGCCACACCACAGCATGAGCTGCAGCATCGCCAACAGCCCCGTGGCGCCGCCGGCCGGCTGCCTGGCCATGCCCGCCGCCCACTTCCTGCACGGCTCCCTGATGGCCGGCGCCGGCGCCGGTGCTGGCCCCGGCGGCGGCGGCCTGTTTGCGCCCCTGCCGCAGCAGCCCGCGGGCGCGTTCGCCGCCGCCGACTCGCTGTTTGGCGGCGTGGGGCCCAGCGGCATCCTGCTGCCAGACCCAAACAGCATCTGGGGCGGCGGCGGGACACCTGCGGGCCCGGGGTCGGGAGCCCAGCCGCACTTCTTCCAGCCATCACAGCAGGTGCTGCGCTGACGCCTTGGACGCCCTGCGCCCGCCTTGTTTCTCAATCCCTTTCTTCCAGTAGAGCCTGAGGCTCCTAAATGTCCCCTTGTAATTTCGGTGGGGAAACAGATCTCGATTGAAGGCCAGGCTGTACTACCACTGTTGATCCCCAGGAGTGACACTTTTAGCACCCTTAGCATTGCATCCCTTGACAGGAGCAGCATCCAGCCACCATGACGAGCCCCAAGGTGTGCCTGCCCCTCTGTGCACGTGAAGAAGGCTTGGCCAGCAACCTGATTCCTACGCAGGCATCCAAGGCTGCTCCACGACTTCACCTGCACAGGGCATGCCACGGCAGCAGCCGGGGCTGCCGCCTCAGATTCCACACCCGCCCGACACCCGCCGCCGTACACACACCACCGATCCCCGCCGCCTCGGCATGGAACTTGCCGTGCAGGGTGCCAGAGACGAGCCCACCGTCAACTTCCGGCAGGCAGACGAGGCATACGACGAGCTGTCGGGTGAGCCGGGCAGCTGAGCAGTGCTGACCCGCGGCGCTAGGCTCTGTGTGTTGCTAGCCGCTCTCGCTCCGCTCTGTGCAGCGCCGACCTACGAGGGCCGGGGCAACACCCCCAAGATGACAGAGGGCAAGTCACGTGAGCTGGGTGTCAGGCTGTGAAGGGGGGGCGCCGACAGATGCGGCATGGAGCGTGGGGCATGGGGTTACAACCTTGGGCTGGCTGGCCAACGTGCGGCACCCTTCGTGCTGCAGACGCCACCCACCCACGCAAGGGGGACCGCCTGTTTGACCGCCATGATGCCAGCGGCAGGGCGTGAGTGCCTGCTGTGCACTTGGAGCAGTCACCTGCTGCCGTCCCTGGCAGCTTGTGCTGCTGTGTTCCTGGTGTCCCTTGCGTGCCCCGCAACTGCTTCCCCTTGGCAATTGGCAGGCACGAGCTGGAGAAGAAGCATGGCGCCGGCAAGGCAAACTGGGGCGTGGAGGGCGAGGCGCAGGAGTGAGCCGCCATACCCGCGTACCTTGGATACGTGTGGCTGCTACCTGGCCCAAGAGCTTAAAAATGGGGATGAGGCTGCAGCTGAGGGTTTCGCTGCCTCCTGAAGTATCTGGCGCACCTGCTTGCCCTGTGCCCCTCACACTGAGACCCCGCAGGGAGCTGGACCTGGCGGTGCAGCAGTCGCTGGCTCGTGATGCGGAGCTGGATGCCGCCAACCCGCAGATGGTGTCGGAGGCGGATGCGCCGGGGGAGGAGAATGTGAGTTGCCGCGGGGGTTGGTTGAGAGCTGGGTGTTTAGCCATCATGCCCCAGGCAAGTTGGAAGCAAGCACCCATTGGCCCTGCATCCCCGCTGCTTGCTGCAGGTGATGACTCTGGAAGAGTTTGAGGCGCTGCAGCGTGAGCTCAGCAAGCCGGAGCAGGGCGGCCCGGCATGATGGCAGGCTTGCCGGCAGGCTGCAGCAGCGGCGGTGCGGCCCGGCGCCAGCTGCCCCTGATGCCACAATGTTCATTGGGAGTTGCTGGCTCATGATTTGTAACACATGGGCAGGAAGCACATCTCACGATTTGTAGGGAGTGAAGCCTGCATGCGACGGGAACCTGCGGCCGCCTGGCGCCATCCCGACTGGCGCCAGCCAGCGGAGTCCTCGGAACCGGGCAAGTCCCTTGCCGGCTTGCTCTGTGCTTCATCTGTTTCTTCAATTGTGAATCTGGGAGTCCGCAGCGCCTTGCGAAGTGCTGGTTTCGGCCGACACAGGCAGACACAAGGCCTTCTGTTAGCTTTGCTTGTTTCGAGCCAGCTCTATCACAGCCACTGAGCAGCGGCAGGCGACAGGATGGGCAAAGGCGGCACCCGGTTCGATGGCGAGGCAGTGGCCGTCAGAGGGAAAGCCAAGGGCTACACCGGCAAGGACATGAAGAAGGCGCGTTGCCTGGCAGCCCTAAGCCGCGCCGCACGGGTGTCCCGCTTGTCGCCGCTGCCGCCGCTGCCCGCCTGCCCTCCGCCCTCCACTCCAGTCCACCCTCCTGCCTGCAGGACATGGAGACCTTCCTGGCCACGGGGGTTCACCCAGAGGTGGAACGGGCGCGCAAGGCGCAGCAGGACATCATCCCTCCGCTGCCCGAGCGCTCCACGCAGCGCCAGCACGTCTTCCTCACCATCACAGTCAACAACCAGCCCAAAGGTGCGGGCCAGGGGAGCACATGGCCTGGCTGGAGGTGGTTGGCAGAGGGGCCTGTGCTCTGCTGCTGCCCTTTGCTGGAATCGCAGGCGTAACTCAGCAGCCTCGGCGCAGCGGAACTCGTGCCTGCTGCCCCCCCGCTCACCTGCATTTTCCGCGGCCGGGCCTTGCAGGCCGCATGGTGATTGAGCTGTTTGACGACATTGCGCCCGTGGCGGTCCAGCACTTTAAGAACCGCTGCTCGGGTGCGGCACGGGAACAGGGCTGCTGGCGGCGCCCGCGCCGCCTGCCTGTGACGCGCTACTCGCCGATGCGCTGCCTAGTTCTGCTGCTGGGCAGCAGGCGCGCCGAACTCTCCACCAGACCCCACCCCACCCTGCCCGGGCCCCGCTCGCCGCTCCGCGCTGCTTGCTGTTGGTGCAGAGGGCGCCAGCGACACCTTCAAGGGCACCGCCATCCACCGCGTGGTGAAGGACATGGCTGCCTTTGGGGGCAAGTCCAAGAGGTGCGGGGGGCACACACTGTGTGCTGTGTGCATGATAATCACGCTGTGCTTGGAAGGGTGCAGGCGACACGCATCGTGCAGGGCACATGTGCTGGTGGCGGCGTGCTGTCGCGGCAGGCCCTGCGGATGCGCATAGCCAGCTGCATGCCGGGCCGCTGTTCAAGACTGGCCTTGCTCGTGCTGCTGAGGGTCGAGTGACGGCTGCTGCTGCTGTGGGCCCCTGCTGCCTGGCTGCAGCTACCGGGAGGGGGTGCACATGAAGCGGTACACAGAGGTGGGTTCAAACTTCCTGGCCAGCTTCCGGGCAAGGCAGCAGACTGTCAGGGACGCGCAGCAGGCACGCCTCTGGTCTCTTCTCCTCTATGTTGCCTGGCACCAGCGTCCCGCAGGCGTGCTGCCTGCCTCATGACCGCCAGTCCTACTGCTGCCCATGGTCGCCCTGCCCCGCAGATGCGGCACAGCGAGGAGGGTCTGGCCTCCATCTCGCTGCAGGGGGATGAGTTCTGCATCACTGTGGGGCGGGCGCTCATGCTGGATGAGACGCATCAGGTGAGGGGAGCAGGGCAGGGCAGGGCAGTGGGAGGCGCTTTGGGGGGTTATGGAATCGGCTCCATGGAGTGCATGCCTGCCTGCAGTTTGCAAGCATGCTGCACGCAGGCGCTGCCCCGCTTCTCTCCTGCTGGCACCCCTGCCTGTCGTGCCACTCATGCGCTGGCCCCTGCTGCCGCTGCAGGTGGTGGGCCGCCTGTGTGCGGGCCGCGAGCTGCTGCCGATGCTCAACGCAATGCAGACAGACGTCAACGATGCGCCGGTGCATCGTGTGCGGGTTTCACGCTGTGGCTTTACCAATGCAGGTGCCCCATAGCAGCCTGCTGCTTCGGCTTCATGAGCTGCTGCCGCACTGCACCTGATCTGCAGCTGTGCGGAGCCACTGGGGCGCCTTGTGCTGTCAATCATTCCTCTGCCTTTGCTGATCCCTCATGCTGCCGTGCCACTACTTGCGCCGCAGATGGCTCGCTGGAGGATTTTGATGAGTCTGGGGCGGGCAGCGGCGGCAACAAGAAGGAGACTGCGGAGGAGGCGGCGGCGCGGGTGAAGCTGGAGGCAGCCAAGGCGCGGGAGTCTGTCAGGCAAGCGCTGCAGACGGGGCTGGAGGCCAGCGGCAGCAAGCGCAAGCAGCCCGAGGGCGCGGCGGCGGCGGCGGGCGGCGGCAGGCCCACGGCCAAGAAGGGAATGCTGAACAGCATGCTGGGAGACCTGAGCAGCAGCGAGGAGGAGGAGGAGGAGTAGCTGCTCGGCTGGTAGGCATGCCTGTCCCGTCTTCTCCCGCTCGCTCGTCTCTGCTGCTGCTCTGCTGCTGTTGCTCAATGGTTGCTTGCTCCTCCTGCTGGCGCGCGCGCTCATCTCCTTACTTTTCAGCCACCATCCGCACTCTTGACACACCGTGCGTTGCACTTGACTTGACTTGAAACAGTGGTTGAATCACGCCGATGCTGTGGTCAGAAAGCAGGCGTGCATCCACGCGACGATCAGCTGCACCAGGCCAGGTAGAGAGAGGCGCTGGTTGCCAGCGGTCTCGCCATGTCTGGGGCAAGGTGACGGCCACAGGAGGGACATGTTATTTCCTGGTAGCTTGTGAGATGTCAATTAACCAACACAGGCGCAGCTCAAAGCTTAGGTGCCGCTGTGATCCCAGCGCCGCCGCCGCCTTTACAGCAGATTTCGTGCACGTATGCGCCCAGCGAGTTGTGCGGGCACCTGCTTCCCAAATTGTCTCGTCGGAACATCCCCGATTGTTGAGTTCAGTGCTCATTACCCCTGCCCCCATCTTCCTTGTGTCAATCGCCTGGTCACCGTGATCGCCTGATCACCCCAGCTGGTAATCAGCATGTCGGTGCGCAGACCGGCCTTCGTGAAGCTGCACCCTGCCGACACTTGCGCTGGCTTGCCCCGCGTGTTTCTTGAACAGCACCCCGACAGTTTCGAGCCCCAGACCAACCCCTGTGAGTGCTGGTGCCCTGTCGATCGATCGCTGCCGCGCACCGACCGCAAGAGCCCCTCCCGCCCCCACCCGCCTCCCGCTTCCCGCCGCCACCCGCTTCCCGCCGCAGCCTGCCGACCTGTTGCGCTGCGCCAGCCGCCGACCCACTCGCTGTTGCCATCAACCCGCAGACACTGGCTTCAAAGAGAAATGGGGCTTCAGTGAGGACGATGACGGCGAGCCCATGGCGGTGAGGCAGGCGGCTGTTCACACCGGTACAGCATGGCTGCGGCAGCGCCGCCAGGACTGCTCCGTCGCCGCCGCACCGCTTCTGCCTCCCATGGCTCCCTTGTGTGATGTTGCTGGATCCCTGCCCCCTCCTGCACACCGCGCAGTTCATGATGCGCTCCATGACCTGTCAGTCGATGTACGGGCCCCACAGCAGCCAAGGCCTGAAGAAGCCAGGCAAGCCTCCTGGTTTGAGGGCTGGAATGTGTGCCCCAGCACTTCATGGAACCTGCTCCAGTGAGTTGGGCAGTGCTGACGTGCCAGGCCGCAGCTAAGCCCACTTATTTTTGTGGGACAAGTGCAGAGCAGCAGTTTGTGGATGTGCTGATCGCGAAGAAAGTGCGGGCACTGGAGGCTGGCAAGGAGGCGGCGGAACCCTTCTACCGGTGAGCGGGCTGGCAAGGCGGCGGGGCGGCAGGCTGGTGGGCGGGACACAGGCACACCTACTGCATGCAGCTCACGCAGCTCTGGTGCCCACACGGCTGCCTGCATTCAAGGTTCCCTCTGCACGCCACAGCTCCTTGCGCTGCCTGCTTGCAGGCGGGACTTCATACTCGACATCGACCTGGCCTGCCCCGACCCGCAGTTCCGGCACGAGCCGCGCGTGTGGCGGCGGGTGCGCGTGTCGGGCGGCACGCAGCTCACCGCGCTGCAGGACAAGGTCATCACGCCCGTCATGGTGAGCCTGGGGAGGGAGGGAGGTAGCGGAGGTGAACTGCACCATCTGCCTGCGGCTGGAGTGTGTTTGGAAGGCAGCTGGCTTGGCAGGGTGGCAACGCACCACGCCCGCCTGTCCACCACTTCCATCGAGGTCGGCAGGCGCTGCCTGTTTGAGCGGCATGCGCTGCCTGTTTGAGAAGCGGCAGGGCAGCGGCGTGAGGAAAGGCGCGGCCGGGGCGCTGTACCAGGCCCGGCGTTCCAGCCGATGTTGTCGAGTCCGCCACCCTCCTGCCGTGCAGGGCTGGGTCCGGAACTACCATGGCCACCTGTGGACAGACTACCGCGACGGCGCCCTGCTGGGAGACCCTGCGTGAGCGGGGGGGCAGAGGAGGGGGAGAGGGCGCTGCCTCTGCCGCCGTGCGGTGCAGTGGCAAGCATGCTGCGCAGGGCAGGGCTGGACAAGACTGGGACCATGGTTGTGTGGAAGCTGCAGCACATCCGCCTGCTTCGCCTACTCGCCAGCCTGCCAGCCAGCCGCTACTCCAGGCCCCAGGTCCTCCCTTCATGCCGGGTCCTCCCTTTGATGCCAACCTGCCCACCTGCTTGCCCAACAAACAACAAAAAAGTTATCCTGCTTTCCCACCCGCAGGTCCCAGGCCATTGACATGATGCACGTCAGCCTGCACTACCACGGTTTTGTTGATGAGCGGCCCTGGCGCCTGGCTGACATCCTGCGGGTGCGAGGCGGGGTGGCGGGTGGGGCGCACGGGCTGCCCGCCCACGCCTGTTGCCAGATCCACCTTCATTGCTGCTGAACGCGAACAACCCTGCTGCCTGTGTGTTGTGCAGGAGGTGGGCCAGCAGATGAGCTACACGTATGACATAGGTGACAACTGGCGCCACGTCATCACTGTGGTGGAGGTCCTGCCCGAGGTGGGTGTGCTGCGTTGTAGCAGCAGCACCAGCCGTCAGTGAGCTCCCCATCTCAAACTGCGTCACATCACACCGTGGCGGCACTGCAGCGCCTGCCATTCTGCTGCTGCCAGCCAGCCTCGTCCCGCTCCTGTGCTGCTTGCGCGCCTCCCTTCCTTTTGCGCATCCATCGCTGCATCCATGCCGCTAACGTGCGTGCAGGAGGAAAGCACCGGCCGGGCGGCTGTGCTGGATGGCGCCATGGCGTGCCCGCCTGAGGACAGCAGCGGCATGGAGGGCTCAGGCTCCGGATCCTACCAGGTGCCTTTGCTCAGCTGAGAAACAGATGGGGTGGGAAAAGGGCCACAGGCGCTGGTGCCGCTTGCTGGGCTGCGCTGCCGCTGTGTTCCGCTGCCTAGGCTGCTGCCGCTGTGTTTTGCTGCCTACGCTGCTGCCGCGGCTGCCGTCAGTGGTGCCGTGGGAGTGCCTCCGCAGCTGCCTTTGCCTGTGTCCCCACCGCTGCCGCTGCCGCTGCTGCCGCCTGCAGGAGTTCCTGGACCAGATGCTGGACCCCGCCTACCAGCGTACCGCCGAGTACCGCACCCGCATGCACAAGGCGTCAGCGGCGCTCAACTACCGAGACAGGCGAGCGCCAGTTCCTTGACTTGCTCCACATCAGAAGCTGCTCGCTTTGGCACATAAGATTTGTCAGAGCAGTTGCTGTGGTGCTGGGCGACTGGATAACTTCCCTGCCCTCGTGCCTGCTCGATCAGAAGAGTACCCGCCGGCGCCTGCTCACTGCTGCAGCCGCCGCGGCTTCCAGCCCCAGCGCTTTGTGCTGGCAGAGGCGCAGGCGGCGCTGGAGGCGGCACTGGCGAGCCGGGCCAGCGTCTCCTCTGGCTCCAAGCAGTTTGTGACCCCCCTGGGAATGTGGGGCGACGGCAGGCATGGGGCCGGCGTGGATGGGCTGATAGGCGGCGCGTGAGTGGCGGCGGCTGTACTGCCTGAACTGCCTGTCCACATGTACTGTTGCCTGGCAGATGCAGTTCCTTTGCCTGTGTGGCCAGCAGTATGGCTGTGCCGCACCAGCAGTGTACTGGCTGCGTGAGCGGTTGCCAGGCTGCGGCATTGCGCATTGCCGTAATTCCCATGGGCTGTGGTGATGCATGTGGGCCGTGAAAGGCCTCTCGTATCCGTCACTTCAGGCCTCCTCTGCCGCCTGGCTGCAGGCTGGGGCGGGGGCAGCAGCTGCGGCAGCAGGCCGAGCCCACTGGCTCCATCCTGACGGTGAGGTGCAGCGGCAGCAACCCGCATGGCCGGCCGGGTCATCCAGGGCTGGGTTTGGTGGCTGGCGGGTGCAGCGCTCGCATGCTGGCTGCCAGCTGGGAGCGGGGCAGCTCTCGAAGAGAGGCATGCAGGGCATGCGCCTGTAGAGGTGGCAGGCAGGCAGCAACTCATCTCTGGCGGCCCCGTCCTTTCCACCTCTGGGCTGCAGGAGACGGTGGCAACCTGCAAGGACCCGCGGGGAGTGGCGGTGTGTGCCAACTGCGGCAACCCCAACAACCTGATGAGCTGCGGAGGTGAGGCAGAACAGAGGTGCCGAGGCAGCCTTGGTGTGCTTAGTAACTCTATGGAGCTGCGTGGCTGCAATGCTGAGGCTTTGATGTGATTCCCACGGCACCTGCAGGGTGCAAGCTGCTCCGTTTCTGCGGGCGCCAGTGCCAACTGCAAGCCTGGCCCCGGCACAAACAGGACTGCAAGGCCGAGCAGAAGCGGCGGGCAGAGAAGGCGGCAAAGACAGGCGCTGCCAGCAGCAGCTAGCTTACAGCGCCAGAGGGCAGCGTTCGGGAAGGCCGACAAGACAGTGAAGCACACGGTGCCGTACCAAGTGGCATGCAATCTTCTGTAAGCTCTTGAGACTGTGACCAAGGAGATACAATCACAAATGGATAAGGAAAGGCTCCCAACTTTCTTGCCTCCTCCCTGCTTCCTACGCCTGCTCTCTCAACAGCCCGTCCTCAGTTTCGCCTCCCAACAGCTGTAGCCCACCCAGCAGCTTCCACAGCTATGGACAAGCTTCTTCTTCTTCTAGACAAGGCCACGGGGGAAAACACCAACCCCTACGCAGGAGTGCCCACGGCTGCTGAGCTGAGGCGCAGAGCTCGAGCTCCAGGGCCAGAGGCCGAACGTGGCGGCTCCAGCAACGGCAGCGGCAGCGCGCTGCTGCGGGCTGTGCTGCGCCGCGACCTTGATGCCGTGCAGCTGCACCTGCGAGGGCCCCACCCTGCATTGGACGCCCACGGCCTGACGGCGCTGCACGCCGCGGCGCTCGCCGACTTTGGGCCTGCCGTGCCGCTGCTGGTGGACGCAGGTGGGCACAGGCGGCACACCCATGCTGCTGCTGCTGCTGCTGGTGGTGGTGTTCACCCCTGGGCGGTGTGGCATCCGCTGCAGGGTGCTCCCTGGAAGCCGCTGCCGCGGTGGGCGCAGGGCCGCCCTGCACCGTGATGGCGGAGCTGCAGCTGAGCCAGCAGCAGTGGGACGCCATCACTCAGCCCGCTGATGCCTTCCTGGGCGGCCGCCCCTTCACGCCCCTGTGGGTGGCTGTCGCCTGCGGCTCGGCTGACGCTGCGGAGCAGCTGATGAAGGCAGGCGCATACGAGACCGGCATGTTCACAGGGCTGGTCACGGTGGCAAAACGGGCCAACAGACCGCAGGCCGAGAGGCACAACAGCGGGGCAGGCAGTGGCAGCAACGTGGAGGCAGTGCAAACGCTGGTCAGGCGGGGGGCAGAGGCGCTGCTGAGCAGAGGCCTGCCGCCCGGCCGCTTAGCTGACGAGGCGCACCGAGCAGCAGTGATGCTGGCCCACCCAGCCACATGGACGGAGCCTGGCCTGCCAGCCTGCCCCTGGCTGCTCCAGCACCTGTTGCGGCTGCACACCAGCGGCCAGCTGGGCGGCGCAGCCTATGCCTCGGCAGTCGGGCAAGTGCTTGTAAGCAGCCAGCCCGTGGACGATGCGGCGCTTGTGCCTTGGCTGGGCGTCCCTGCTGCCGCAGCGCTGCCCCGGGAGGTACTAGCAATCTGCACAACCGATATGTGCAGCAAGGGCAGAGAGCGATGCCTGGCGGCCCTGCTGGCCCGGGAGGAAGTTCAGCAGGCGGTGCAGCAGCCAGGCCCGGGGTATGGGCAGAGTGTCGGCACGCGGGCCATCCTTGCCGCAGCGTCCGCGGGCCATGGCGCCTGCATCGATGCCCTGCTGGCGGCTGGAGCGCAAATCACGATGGCCACCATCCAGCAGTGCATCACCAACTGCGTCTGCAGTCCCTCCAACTACAGCCACAGCGCGTGCAGCCTGGAGCTGCTGCTGCGCCGCACCAGGCCGCCGGTGCCTTTTGAGGGTGCCAGCCTCACCTCCTGCCCCATCTACTACCTGCTGGACTCCAAGCACACGTTGGACGACATGGTGGTCTGCCCGCTGGTTTGGTTCTTGTGGCAATCCCCTGAAAGCCGGGCTGACAGACGCTTGGCTGATGCATCCTGGAAATCAACCCATGGGTGTCAGTCGATGTTTGTGCACTGATGCACGCGCTACCTTGGCTTGCCCGGGGCTCTGGCTGCAGCTGTATGAAACGATGTTTGAGGGCTTGCGCGAGGCCGCCCAAGACATGCACCTGTGCCAGCTGCGCGCGATGGAGTGCCTGCTGGCTGCCGGCTACCGGCCAGTGACCTACCGCAGCATGGTGGTGCCTGGCAGGGGGCCTGTCGCTGACGGCACCAAGCTCAATTACTACCCTCCCGCCGACCCTGGTGTGGCCAGTCGGTGGGAGCTGACCACTGGCAACAGGTAAGCACGAGGTGGGGTGGGTGGTATGGATGGCTTTGAATGGACGGTCTCCTTTCTGTGACGTCATCTCCCGCTGCTGCCAAGTATCCCGCCCATGCTATCCAGAACACAAGCATGCCAGATGGCCCCTATGCACGTTGCATGCTGCAGGTGGCTGTGGCAGGCCGCAGTGCACGAGCCCTGGACCCCCACCACCAACCTCCACTTCCCTCCTGCATTCAAGGCTGCGGCATGTGCCCTGCTGCTTGCCGCGTACCACAGCCGCCAGCAGCCGGCGGGCATGAGCGGCCGGGTGTCGCTGCTGCAGGCGCTACCGCAAGAGCTGCTACTCAATGTCACTGCTCAGGCGGCCTACCCGCTGTCGGTCTGGAAGCCGGTGATGAAAGGGGGCAACCTGCTGGAGATAGTTGACCTACAGGAGTATGATGCGGCGATGGAGGCGCTCGATTATTGATGGTGGGTGAGCGCGGCGCAGCCAGCCCAGCGCAGCCGAGGCAGTCGTGGGCCCGGCAAAGACATGCGAAGCGCCCATCCAATGAATGAACCAAGCTTGATGTCCCAGTTTTGCTTGCCTTTTTGTTACATGCACATATGCGCAAGCTTCGATTGATGCACAGATGGAATCTATCAGAACCTTTTCACATGCGTGCTACATTAGTAGTTCAACAAGCAGCTGCTACCAGACCTTATGCTACTAGGCGCAACAGAGCAATGCACTTTGTCGGTGAGCCCAGCTGTCGTGCTTCAGCGCTTGAAAAGGATATAGATTGCATGGATGATCCCTGCAGCGTAAGAAACGGGGCAGCGCTCAGGCGGGCGCGCGAGCAGAGCAAGTCGTGGGACCGCTGCAGCGTGCCTGGAATCCAGCCCAGCAACGTCAGCAAGATGTTGATGACCACGGCCTGAGAGCAGCGGTTCTCCTCGATGAACACCTGCCACGGAACAGCCAGCAATTGCCCCGGTTAACTGTGCCCGTGGCCAGTTTGGTGGCAGCAGGCCTCGAGTCGGCGCCAGCCAGAGGCTGCTGCTTGCATGGCAACGGCATGCTTGCTGCTGCACCCACCGCGAGTGGTGGCAGAAAGAATGCCACGATGAGCAAGCCTGCGGGCGGAACAGTGAGAGATCAGCGTGCGAGGCAGGGGGAGCGCGGGGCAGCGGCGGCCCCGGCGGGCGGCTGACGTGTCGCCGCCGCCGCTGCTGCCGCCACCGCGGCATCTCCTGGCTCACCGAAATCCTTCATCTGCCACGGCATGGTGTCTGCTGGCCCTGCGCCTGTGTGCAGCAGCCTCACGCGTTCCCCGTCTGCCTGCCGATGGGCGCGCTTCTCGGCTGACGCTTCTGCTGGCTCGGAATGGATCACCAAGAAGGCTGGGTCTGTGGGCGAGATGTAGCAGCGCTTGACAGGCAGTTCCAGCAGCAAGACCTCTGCTCTCATGGCCCGAAAGAGGGCCTCTTTCTTGTTGTGCAATCGGAAGCCACACGGTTTCCGATGCAGCTGCTTCGTTGCGCAGATCAACTTCCAAGCAGTCGGGAGCTGGCCTGGAAATAAGGGAGCTGACTGCAGATGGCGGATTGAGCGGCGTAGGCTGAATGCGACGAGCACGGCCGGTGCCCGCCAGACTTCCATCCGAGCAGGCCCCTGAATCCCCGCCACGCCGCACGCTTTGGCTACAAGCTGCACCATGAGGTGCATCGGGACTAGGCATTCAGGATGGGGATGGTGGGCAGCGGGATGTGGACGCTGGGGGCGGCCGCATTGCTGCCGGTGCGCCGCATCTCGCCGCCCTCCGGCCCGCCATCCTTGCCCATCTTGCCGCCGCCACCGCGGTGCTGCATCTCCGTTTGCAGCACCGGCAGTGACGCGGCACGCGACTCCCCAGCCGCCACCACAGCCGCCTTGAACAGAGGCGGGCCGGTGAGCAGGTTCATGATGACCACGCCGGCCATCAGCGCTGCACGGGGGGCAGGGCAGACAGCAGGACTTGCAGGGCGTGAGGCAAACACAGCAGCAGCAGCAGCGGCAGCAGCAGCGGCAGCAGCAGTTTGTGAGGTGCCACCCGCAGGCAGCACAAGCAGCGGCTGCCAGGCCTGCCTGCAAAATCGGGGCCCCACTCAGGGAAACGCGCCGCCACCGCCTGCGCCAGGCCCAGCGCTATGCCAGCCTGCATACAGCATGCCAGTGCGTGGTGAAGGTGAGGGTGGGCCGGCGCGGAGAGCTGTCCTGATCCATGCACACCCGCATGAGGCAGGACGGGAGGGCGGTCATCCATGAACAGCCCCTCCCCGCCAGGCCCCACCCACCTGCGTGATCATGCCCATCCACAGGCGCTGCGAGGTGTCGTGCGGTGTGGCCGACACCTCGGCCCCCAGCCAGCACCCCACCCACACCGCCGCGAGGCGCACGACATACAGGATGACCGCCGCCCACAGCGTGTCGCGCACGGCTGCAGGCAGGCGAGGGGAAAGCAGTCATACAGCAGACAGCGCGGCAACCGCAAAACACACAAGGGCAGGGGTGCGGTTGCCAGGAGTGCAGCGGCTTGACAGGAACCAAGGTTCTGGTTGCAGAACCGAAGCTCGACGGTTGTGGCAGGCGCAGGGCGGGCTGCGCCAGGCGCACCTGTGAGCTTGATCGATGCGCCCACCATGCCAAAGAAGAGGGCGTTGATGAGCGGAGCCAGGCGGCTTAGGTCGGAAGACAGCAGCTCTGCGGCGTCCCGCCCCTGCTGCTGCTCACCGCTGCAGACAGGCAGGGCAGGCAGGCAGGCAAGTGCGCAGGCAACGGGTAAGCAAACACGTCAGCCGAGTTGGTCCAGCGGACCCGCGGCAGCAATAGCCTGTGTGCATCAGATGCCGTGTTGAAGCCGTGCTGCTCGACAGGCCATCATTCCGCAGGCCACCTGCCGCCGCTTCCACCCCACCGCCTGCCTCACCGCCAGTTGGAGGCCACCAGGCCTGCTGCCACGCACGCCAGCAGAGGCTCCGCGCCGCCGCTCTCCGCCAGGCCAAAAGTCAGCCCCGACAGCAGCAGCGGCACCGCAGGGCGCAGGCGCAGGGCCGAGGGGTGGCGCAGGAAGCGGACCAGCGCCGCGGCCCGGGGCCCACCGGCGTGCGTCGCGGCGGCGGCATGGCCGTGCCCTGCTCCGGCGGCAGCGGCGCCGCCCGCAGGGTGCGTGACCGCGGCGGCGGCGATGCTGATGATGCTGCTGTGCCGCGTGCGGAGCAGCTTGGACAGCGCGTACCCGGCCGCGCCCCCCAGCGCAACTGCAGGCAGCGGGGGCAGCAGAGGCGGCGGATCTGTTCAATCAGCACTGGAGCAGAGTGCAGGCGAGATCCAGCACGCGATGGGAACGCCTGCAGGCATTCGGGCATAACAGATGGCAGGCAGGCAGGCAGGCACAGCAGAGGTCGGGAGGCAGCGAGGAGGTGGGGCGACAGGAGGGGGTGGGCGGCTGGCAGCACAGGCAGCAAGGAGGGCAGCGCAGGCCAGCAGTACCCGATAGGGCGATGCTGACCACCGGCCCCGCCAGCAGCCAGAACAGCACGCCGCTGTCCGATGCCTTGCCCACCTGCAGCCAGGTAGACATGAGCGCAGCAGGCACAGGTTCAGGCACGTCCATCACAACACACCACCAGCCCAACACCAGCACAGTCGTGCTGGCGAGCACGCTGCCTGCAGCAGCACACGGCCGGTCACCCGCCCACCAATGCACGCTGTCAACACGCTGCGTGAAGCAGCACAAGCACGCCTGCCCACCCACCGCTCTGAACAGCTCGATGTTGACTGCAAAGGCGGCAAAGAGGAGCACATCCTTGACCACCACCACCGCCATCACCAGGCTGCAGTAGGGGCCCTTGCCCTCGGTTTCCTTGAGCACCGCAATCTGCAGGGCAGCGGGGGAGAAACGAGCGGGGTGGAAAGCGCAGGGGTGGATGTGCATGCTGGCGCAGGCCAAGCGCAGGGCCCAGGGTGGCTTCCGCATTAAAAATGCACCTGCAGGATGCAACCGCTGCAGGGTATTGCTCCACAGCAAATGGTCTGGAAAGCAGTGCAGCAGCTCACCGCTGACGCGGGTGACCTGGCGACCGCCAGCGTGGCGGCCAGGGTGCACACGGCAGCCACGTCGCCTCGCGACAGCGGCTGCATGAACGGGATGCTTCCCGCCAGGAGCCGCATGCTGCAGGGAGAAGGGCGGGAGGAGGAGGTGATCGCAGGGGTGCGGATCTCAGGGGTCCATTCCCATGCAGGGCGCAGCATGGCTGCTGCCGCGCCTCACCAGGTGTAGACCAGCAGCCAGGAGCACAAGCTGATGCCCGCTGTGATGCACGCCACCTGCACCAGCGGCGGTGGTGGCGGCAGTCGGGCAGGTTCTCCTCCCCATCATTGGCAGCCTGCCAGCTGAATGAATGGGGATGAACAGCCTGGCAGCAGGCTGTCCCCCTTCATTGGGCTGCCGACACAATGCTGCAGCCGGCAGCCAGCAGAGCGGCACAGTACCTGCTTCCTCAGCCGCCGCAGCTCCGGCAGGTGCAGCTCCGCGCCCGCTGACAGTGCTATGAGCGACAGGCAGAGGTGCTGCACTGGCGCGAGGCTCTGCAGCCCCAGGGGTCCCAGCAGGCCCAGGGCCTGTGGCCCGCTGGCCACGCCAGCCTGCAAGGTGCGAAATCCGCAACCGTGCCGTTGGATTGGGCGGCGGCGGCAGGGCGGCAGCGCGGCTGGACTCCCTGCTTGCGAGCGCAGCAGCTCATCCTTTGCATGCAGTGGGCAGCAGCAAGGCGCACCAGAATCATGCCGGTGATGGCGGGCAGCTGCAGGCGTTGCGTGGCGCGCCCAGCCAGGTGCCAGACCGGCGCCAGGACGGCCAGCACGGCGGCGGAGGCCAGGGTGGTGAGCGCGGCCATGGCAGGCCGCTGGCAGCTGCCAGCCGATCAGGCGGACCGCCTTCTGCGCTCCGGCACGGAGCAAGGGCAAGACGGCGGCAGGCAACTTTAGTTTTGCGATCAATGCAAGGACAAGGGAAGAGCAAGGTGGGGTCAAAACGGCACGAACTACAGCATTGATCAGGGATCCAGGCGCCGCCCTGATCGAGTTCTTCTTATTAGCCACAGCTGAGCCAACCAGCATCGCCGCGGCAGCAGGCCCAGCAGGAACATGGCGCGGCGTGATTGCTTTCCCTTGGGCCCAGCGCATTGCCTCGTGCATCCCAGATCACATGCTCTGAAGCCGGGAGCTGGGTTCTGGGGGGTTCTCGGACGGCTACCAATTGCTGCGCGCGCTGCTGAGGCCTCCCTACCAATCATCCTTTCGAGCAGGGCAATAGCAGTCGCCCACAAACCTCTGGGCACCCAGCGGCGCCCTGGGCGCCAGGACTCTGGCTCCGGTCGCCGCCGCCGTGGCGGCCACACCGCCGCCGCCGTCCACGCCATGTTAGCTTCACTCGCCACTAAGCAGCAGCGGCAGCGGCGGGCTGTCTGAGCAGCCATAACGAGCTCATCGGGGCCAGTGGTGCCACTGTCCCACAACGTCTGAGCAGCCATGGCGAGCTCGTCGGCGCCAGCGCCACCGTCCCACAAGCTCATCCCTGGCTGCGGCTTTCTGGTGGATGGCTTCCAGACCCGCTACGCTGCCCACCCCTCGGTGAAGGCCTACTTCCTGACCCACGCCCACTCAGATCACTACAACGGGCTTCGCGACGACTGGAGCCGTGGCGTCATCTACTGCAGCCACGTCACCGCCCGCCTGATTGCTCACATGCTGGGCGTCGGGCGCCGGTGGCTGCACCCGCTGCCGCTCGACTCGCCAACCATGATCCAAGGTGGGGTGGCCATGGGCTCACAGCTTGATCCAGAAGCTGATGCTGGATTGAGCTCTTTCTTCCCTCATTGTGTTGCTTGCCTGGCAGGGGTTGAAGTGACGCTCGTCAGCGCCAACCACTGCCCCGGCGCCGTTCAGTTCCTGTTCCGCTTGCCCGACGGCCGCCGCTTCATCCACACCGGCGACATGCGGTTCAGCCCCGCGCTGCTGGCCAACCCCCACCTGCAACAGTTCAGGCGCGTGTTCAGGCGTGCCTTGCAGCAGCAGCATATGCTGCTTGGCACTTCAGCTGCACTATTCTGCCATCAGCCTGCTGCTGAACCACCAGTCCCTCTGCCTGGTGCAGGGGCTGTGATGCCCTCTTTCTCGACACAACATACTGCAACCCGCGCTACTGCTTCCCTCCCCAGGTGCGGCCTGCCAGCCTCTTTGCTCAGGCAACCGTGGTTGGAACCCTCCACCTGATTTGTTCCTCTTACTTCCTTTCCTCTTGCTTCCCTGCAGGAGGAGAGCATCGAGTATGTTGCCAGCACTATCCAGCGCCTGCTGCAGGAGGACGCAGAGCAGCAGCAGCAGGAGTCGCAGGGCGAGGGACGGGAGCCAGGTGCCAGGCAGCGCCGCCCCTTCCGCAGGCTCTACCTCATCAGCACCTACGGTGAGGGGACGCCTTGCAGTTACAACACGTCTGCCGGTGCAACGACAGAGAACAGAGAGGGGCTCCTCCCCTGCTTCTAATTTTATAGAGAATCGGTAGTTTGTTCAGCAAGCAGCTCCTGAGTTGGAGTTGCCGCTGCCGCCGTCACCTGCAGGCATAGGCAAGGAGAGGATCCTGACGGCAGTGCACGACCGGTGCGGCGTGAGGCTGCACGTGGCCGACCGCAAGCACGCCGTCATGCAGCAGCTGGACCTGCCAGGTCAGCCCCTGTGGCTGGCACTCGCTGCAGCTACCCTGCGCTGCTCTCCAGCAGCCCATGCAGCATCAAACGCACTATATGCTACGAATGGTTTTCGGCTGCTGTGAACGAAGTGGCTTGGTTGCTACCGCCCCCTGGCGCAGGCTACGACCCCTCCCAGCTCTTCACAACGGACCGTGGCAGCACGCCGGTGCACGTGGTGCAGTGGGGCTTCCTGGGAGAGACCTGGCCGTACTTCAGGTGGGGCTGCCCTGGCCTCCCCACATTGCTGGCTGTTTACCGCGACTTTCGTGGTGCCCTGCACCATCTCTGCACAGAGCATATACCTCGCCGACCTGCCTCCGTGATGCCTCCCTTTACCCCATTTCTCTCTCAGGCCCAACTTTGTGAGCCAGGAAGCGCTGCGGCAGGAGCTGGGGGCGGAGGAGGTGGTGGGGTTTGTGCCCACGGGCTGGCTGTACGAGATGCGTAAGGAGACGTTTGCGGTGAAGCGCAAGGGCGCCTGCAGCGTGCACCTGGTGCCCTACTCTGAGCACAACAGCTTCGACGAGCTGCGGGAGTATGTGCGCTTCCTGCGGCCCCTCCAGGTGGGAGGGTGGTTTGCACCAGGGCATGCAAGCATGTATGCCTGCTGGACGCTGGCAGCGCTGGTGCGTGTTTCAAGCCTCACCAGGCAGCCTCCCCCTTGAGCGGTTGCTTGGCCAACTGCCCCTGCTCCGCGCTTGCGTGCGCTGCCTGGCAGGTGGTGCCCACGGTGGGCGTGGAGGGCGAGGATGGCGACAAGGCGCGGGACAGGATGCTGAAGCACTTCAGGCTGCTGGGTGCGCGGGCAGAGTGCGGCACAGGGTTTGCCGGATGTGCATGCTCTCACATCTTTGCTGTTCCTGGGTTTTGTGGTCACGTCTCCCACATACACAGGCACATGCTTGTCACCCCTTGCAGTGGATGAGACGGCCAGCAAAGCCAAGTTTCTCCAGGCTTTTCACCGCTCCAGCGCCAATGGTGCCACCGCCGCTGGCACTGTTGACACAGCTGTTCCTGAGCAGGCGCCGCAGCACGACTGCCCCGATGGGGAGCAGGAGGTGTGGGAGGAGGAGGAGCAGGCAGCGCAGCAGGAGGAGGTGATTGATTTGGTGGAGGAGGAGGATGAAGAGATAGAAACTGATGGCAGCGGCGGCGGCATTGGCAGCGGCACTGGAGCAGTACAGGCAGGCGAAAGCCCACAGGCTTTAGCAGGGCTGGCAGCTGCAGGAGACGACCCTGCAGCAGCAGCAGCAGCAGTGCCAGCGATCGCCTCACCAGCAGCAGCGCCAGTCGCGTCCCCGCCTGCCGAGGAGGGCGGGGAGGGGCCCTCGGACCCGCTGCTGCACCAGCTGCTGTCGGTGCTGGGTGAGGAGGTCAGCAAGCAGCAGGGCCGCCAGCTGCTGGTGGCAGCTGGGGGGGACCTGCAGGGGGCAGTGAATGGCTACTATGATGGCCTGGCAACAGCTGCCGCTGCGGGGAGCGGCAGGGGCAAAGACGCAGCCACGGTGGCTTCGCCGGCACCCAGCACCGCTGCCGATAGCAGCCGCGGAGGAGGAGGAGGAGCAGGAGGAGGCATCAAGCGACCTGCACCCACGCCCGCCACAAAGCCCAAGGGCAAGAAGCAGAAGGGGAGGGCAGCGGTGGCGGCCAGCCCAGGGCAGCGCAACATCACTTCTTTCTTCACCAAGCAGCAGGGCCCACCTCAGGGGCAGCGGCAGCAGCAGGAGCCGCAGGAGCAGCAGCAGGACAGTGGGGGAGCAGCAGCAGTAGCCGCAGCAGATGCTGCGGCTGGTGGCGACTTGTTGGCAGACGATGAGGACTTGGCCCTGACTCTCAACGTTCCGCTGGCAGCGTCACCCTCAGCAGCAGCAGCAGCAGCAGCAGCAGCAGGACAAGCAGCAGCAGGCGTCTCAGAGGTAGAGCCAGACGCATTGGCAGCACCAAGCGGCAAGCCCAAGCTGGTCCTGCCGCCGCCGCCCTCCCCCGGGTCTGCTGCAGCAGCGTCTGCCAAAGGCGCCGCTGGAGGAAGCTTCTTCCTGTCTGGGCGCGGCGCCGGAGGCCAGACCGGCAGCGGCGGCGGCGGCTCCAGGGAGGCAGCTGTGCCCCGGGATGCGTTGGCCCTGCCGCTGGAAAGATATGATCCTGTGGCGCACGCTTGCTGGGAGCCAGGCGAGCCATTGCTGCGTCACTCTTGGGGGTCGAGATGTATGCCGCATGCCCAGCTGCACTGCAGCACAGCCATGCACCTGCGCCCTGTTGCTGCTCAACGAGCTTGCTATGGCTCTGTGTCTCGCCCGCACAGCAGGGCACCCAGCTGCTGGCATGGGTGGCTGACCCCAACTGCCTGCCCCTGCCTGCGCAGGAGAGCCCACCCCGTACCTCCACCTTGCCCGCGCCTTTGAAGCCATGCACTCCACCACCAAGCGGCTGCGCATCTCAGGCAGGCCCGCGGCCGGTCCCTCGACCTTCATGCAGGATCCGGTGCCTGATTCCCAGGCCATCTGGCCTCCCATCCCGCTCCACAGAATGCATACGGACCTTCACAGTACCTTTGCTTGCCTGCTCTCTTCTGCCTGCCTGCCTGCCTCCCCGCCTCCCCCCTTGCAGACGTGCTGGTCAACTGCTTCCGCTCGGTGCTGGCGCTGCGCCCGGCGGAGGAGCTGGTGCAGACGGCGTACCTGGCCACCGGCAGGATTGCGCCAGACTATGAGGATGGCACGGAGCTGAGGGTGGGTTGGGGAAAGGGGTGGTGGTGTGTGTGTGTGTGTGGTGTTGGTGGTCAGGTGGCAGATGGCACAGTGTGCGGCTGCCCACATGTTTCGGCCGCTGTGTGTGCGTGTTTGATTTTAGGTGGGAGGATCCATCATGACGGCCGCCATCGTAGAGGCCACGGGCGTGTCCAAGGCCCGCCTGCAGTGAGGAGCGGCGCCGCCGCCTGCCCCTGCCTGCCGCTTGCGACGATGCCCCCTGGTCATGATGCCCTCTGCAGCAGGATGCTTCACTGCACCTGCGTGCTTGCTTCTTACCTTTCTCCTTCCTTACCATCTCCTCCAACCAGGATTCCCTCTCCCGCTGCGGCCCTTGCCGTGCAGCGACATGTACAAGGACATGGGGGATGCGGGAGACGTGTTCCAGGCTCTGCGCCACAACCAGGCCGTGCTGCAGCGCCCCGCCCCCCTCACCGTGCCCGGCGTGTTTGCCGCGCTGCAGCAGATTGCGCAGGAGAAGGGGGAGGGTGAGCCTGCCGCCGCCCCAGTGGTTGCTTGCCGCTTTGCTGGACGGCAGCACCTGGCTTGTGCTCCAGCGGCTGGCTTGCCCGCCATGCCCCCGCAGGCTCCCAGAAGCGGCGGCAGCGCCTCGTGCTGTCGCTGCTGCGCGCCTGCCGCGAGCAGGAGCCGCGGTTTGTGGCGCGCACGCTGGTGCAGAACCTGCGGGTGGGGGCCAACTGGAGGTCGGTGGTCCCTGCCCTGGCCAAGGCGGTAGTGCTGCACAAGGAGGGTGGCAGGGTGGCCAAGGTGGGTTCAAGGTGTCTGCTGTGTACGGTGTCTCACAGGGCTTACCTGCTCTCAGGATTCAGTAGCGCGTGCTTGCCGCGCAGTGGCATGCCGCAGTGCTTGGCGTCGCGGTTGTGTCCGAGTCGACCCCCTGCCTACCTGCATGGCGGCGTTCCCATGGTCTGCATGCAGGCCCGCCTCGACCAGGCGGCCGCGGCGGCCACCACCGCCTTCCACGTCTGCCCCGACCTGCGGCTGCTGTGCGATGCCATGCTGGCACACCCCACAGAGGAGTGGGAGCAGCGGTGCTTGCTCACGCCAGGCGAGGGCCCGCCGCTCAGCCGCCACCGTGCCGGGCACATCGCGTGGGCAGCGCGTGACCCTGCTCCTGCCCAGGCCTTTCCCTTGCCCCGCCTTGCCCAGCCACCTTGCCGCTGGCCCTCCTCCCTTACCTCCCTGCCCTGCCTGCCCTGCCCTGCCCTGCCCTGCAGGCATGCCGGTCAAGCCCATGCTGGCCAAGATTTGCGAGGGACTGGAGGATGCTGTGCAGCAGATGAAGGATGCGCCCTTCCTGGGTGGGTGCAGCCAGCCGGCGCCCTGTGCCATGTGTGTGCCATGTACACACACCACATTGTGCTTACGTGTGCCGGTGCCACTCTTGCAGCCGAGTTCAAGTACGACGGCATGCGGGCGCAGATACACGTCATTGAGGGCGGCCAGGTCAGCGCCGCCAGCGTGGCAGCACGGCCGCTGGCGCTCCAACCAACAAGCTTTGCATGGGCACTTTGCGCATGGGCATTCTGCGCAATCAACCAATCAACAGCCAGTGCTTGACTGTTTCTCTGCTGACCATCTCATCCCCGCGGTTGGTGCAGGTCCGCATCTTCAGCCGCAGCTGCGAGGACCAGACGCCCCGGTGGCCAGACGCCGTGCAGCAAATCCTGGAGGCCATGCAAGGTGCGGTGGGCAGGTTGAGCGTGCTGTGCGCGTGCCAGGGCATAGCCCAGCTGATCAGTTGATTCCTTCCAGGTGCAGGTGGAGCCACCACGACCATAATTGATGCAGAGCTGGTGGCGGTTGACCCAAGTGACGGCAACAGGCGGGCTGCCCTGCGCCTGCTTTGCTTGCAACATATGCCGCTGGTCTGCGCCCATTTGCCTCGCTTGAAGTCCTGTGGCCTTGCGTCGCCACCTGGCCTGCCACATTTCGCCCTGTGCTTGAGGCAGGCTGAGGGCGTTCCAGGAGCTGGCCAGCCGCAAGAAGGCTGCAGAGCTGGCGGAGGTGTCAGGTGGGAATTTATTGATGAGGGAAAGATTTGATGAGTTAAGCAACAGCACATGGCCAACGTGGATGCCACGCCAGCAAGTAACTCCCAGAAACGCCCTGCCTCTTCCCTGCACCTCAATCCCCACGGCAGTACACGTCTGCATCTTTGCCTTTGACCTGCTGCACCGCGACGGCGCCAGCCTGATGCACCTGCCGCTGGAGCAGCGGCGCGAGCAGCTGCTGCTGGCGCTGCCCAACATGCGTCCCGGGCGTTGCGCCCTAGCACAGTCTGTGCGGTTCCCTGAGGCGGGCGCTGCGACATCACCGTTGGCTGCGGGGAGCAGCGTGCAGCTGCCTGGGCCAGGAGACCAGCACGAGGAAGCGGGGGGCTCAGCTGATGATACCAGGGGAGGAACCTTGATGGAGATCGAGGGCCGGATCGGGGCGCATGGGCAGGAGGCAGCGCCGCTGGAGGAGCGCCTGCAGGAGATGCTGCTCCAGGCTTTCGCCGCTGGCGCAGGTGCGGCGCAAACCTCTGCTGTCCTGCGTTTGGGCTGCCGGTGCCTGCCCCATGCCTCATGCCTCGCCGCGCCACCTTCCATCTGCCGCCCTGCATGACGGCTGCAGAAGGGCTCATGCTAAAAAAACTGGCTGCTGCATACGAGCCCAGCAAGCGCTCCGACCACTGGATCAAAGTGAAAAAGTGAGCTGCAGCTGCACGGGTTGTGGAGGAAGGATGCCGTTGTCAGCTGAGTGTTTGCATCTTTGGCAAGATGCTCGCCCGCCTGCGCCACGCCATGCCTGCTAGGCAATGCTCTGTGCCATGCTGCTGCTCCATGCTGCGCCACACCATACTGCGCCATACCTGCCATACCGCAGGGACTACGTAGTCGGCCTGCATGACACTTTGGACCTGGTGGTGATTGGCGCCTGGCACGGCAACGGCAGGAAGGCGGGGTGAGCTGGCTTGCGCTGGCTGGCCCTCGCAGGCACGAACCCACTTCCAGATTCACCAAGAAGCACCCCCCCTGGATTTGTCTGTCCTGCGTTTCTTGCCTGTCTGCACCCATTTATCTATCCCATCGCTCGTCCCACCCGCCTCGCCGGCTGCACTGCTGGTTGCCCACCGTGGCCCCACACCCCCCGCGCTGCAGCTGGTTCTCCCCCTACCTGCTGGCCTGCTACGACCCCGACACCGAGCAGCTGCAGAGCGTGTGCCGCTGCATGAGCGGCTTCACCGATGCCTTCTACAGGGAGAGCAAGGAGAGGTGGGCTGTGGTGGCTGGGCTGGGCTGGGCTGGGCTGTGGTGGCGTGGCGGGTCGGCGGGCCACTGGCTGGCTGGAGGGAAAAGAAAGGTTGCATGCCATGCGCTTCGCCATCTGCAGGCTGTCCCAGACCATCATCCCGGGTCACAAGCCGTACTACAACACAGGTTGTGCCTGCTGCCGTTGGGTGCCAGCGGCCACACACTCTTCCAGTCGTTGTCGGCCTGGGTGGCTTCATGCTGAGGTGGCAGGTGGCTGCCTTGGCCCCTTTGGCTGGCTGCAGGCGAGCAGCCGGACATGTGGTTTGAGCCCCGAGAAGTCTGGGAGATACGCGGGGCCGACCTATCCCTGTCACCGGTAAGCCGGGATGCCGCACTACCAGCAACTGCTATGCCGCTGTCGAGTTGTGAGCTGCATCCCGTGCCACCACCATCCCTGGCACAGGTGCACAAGGCGGCAGAGGGCCTTGTGCACGCCGAGCGTGGCCTGGGGCTGCGTTTCCCGCGCTTCCTGGGGCGGGTGCGGCAGGACAAGAGCCCCGAGGATGCCACCTCGTCCCAGCAGATTGCAGAGATGTACCGCGCGCAGGTGAGGGCTGTGGGGGCGGATACCGGGGATTGGTGCCAAAACTCCACCTCAGCATGCCGCCTTCTTCTCCTGCCTGCCGCTTGTGCAGACACGCAAGGTCGAGACCGCAGGGCAGCGCCTGGCGGCTGACAAGCAGCTGCAGCTGCCGCAGGAGCAAGCGGCGGGGCCAGAGTCGTATGCAGGTTCTGGCGGGGAAGAGGAGGAGGACGGAGCAGACATAGATGCAGAGGAGTATCACCACAGCTCCTAGTGAATCCAGGAGTCCACCTCAGGATTGTAACATAGCTGGATGTGCTGGTGGCGGCGTGCGGGCGGCGGCCGGCAAGCGGGACACAGCACAGTACAACCTCTCCACGAAGTTCGCGGGCATTCAAGCGACGCGTCGACCACACGCACGGTGCTGCTCACGCCTCCGCCCATCTGCAAGGGGAGCACACTTGAGCGGCCTCGATCCGATCGAGCGGCGTAGCAAGAATGCCCACCTTCAACCTGCAGACCAATGGTGCGGATGGACTGATTATTGCCGGCAGACAGTGGCTTTGCGCCCTGCAGGATGGCGACAGCCACCACGCCGCCGCCGCTGTCGCCTCGGGACTGCAAACCCTGCCCCTCTCCCTCCGGTCCTTGCAGTGCCTGGTGACCGGGTGTCGGCCTCCCAGATCGTGGCCGATCTGAGCAAGGCCGTGGCGCAGGCTACTGGCAAGCCAGAAGGGGTAGGTCGCCTCCTGCAGCTGCCTCCACCTCTCCCTCCCTGGCCTGCAGTGCCCGTTTCACCAGCCTGGCATTGCTGCCCCGGCCCCTCCTGCAGTATGTGATGGTGAGCCTGGAGACAGGGAAGCAGATGATGTTTGGAGGTGAGCAGTATGCGAGGGGAGTGAGGAGGCGGGGTGAACGGCACAACGAGCAGGCAGGCGCCGCCGGGGCAGCAGGCTGGGCACGACGCCCAGCACCCGCATGCAGCACAGCACAGCCCAGTGCCGCGCAGGCGCAAGCGACATCCCTGGCATCACCCCGCCCCGCTGCAGGCACTGAGGAGCCGTGCGCATTTGGCGAGCTCATCTCTAGTAAGTTCTTGGTTTTGTGGCTGCTCCCCTGAAGCAGCGGTTATGAGGTCTGTCGTTGCTTCTTGCCCCAGGTGGAACCAACTACCCACTCCGCAATGCGCTGTGCAGTTGGCTCTATTGGAGGCGAGAAGAACAAGAAGGTGCGGCCAGGGAGAGCTGCTGCTCTCGTCGGTATGCCCCACGGGCTGCTGCGGTTCGTGGTTGCGCCCTTAGCTGCCGCCAGCTCACCCCGGGCGCTGCAAGCTGCCCCGCGCCCCGCTTGCAGATCAGCGCCGCCCTGGCTGAGGTTGTGCAGCGGCACCTGGGCGTGCCCGCCAGCAGGATGTACATCAAATTCTACGATGTCGCCAGGTGTGATTGTGTTGGCCGCCCAGCTGGTGTTTCTGTGGCGTGCAGCTCAAGGACGATTCCCGGTCTTGTGATGCGGGGGAGGCACACCCCTCGGGGCAGCCCGGCAGCAGCATACTTCTTGCCGGCTCTCTTCAACTCTGGTTGTCTTCCTTATGTTTCAGGTCCGACTTTGGGTGGAACGGCACCACCTTCTGAGCCCCGGTCGCGGCATTCCGCCGGCGGTCAACACGTGCGCCGCTTTCCAAGGCGGCACGCCTTCCACCCTGCCGCCGCCATTGGCCACACTATGCATACAAACCCCGATCGGGTGTTTTGCTGAATTTGATCGTTAAGCAGCCCTAATTTAGCCGACAGGGACTCGTTGGCATCGGGCGGCATGCGGGCGGCCAGCAAGACCCTGACCAGCCTGGTGCAGGCGGCAGCACCGGCGCTGCGGGAGAGCGTGATCGAGTGCTTTGGGACTGCAGGTAGGGTCACTGTCGCCCCTCTGCCGGTCCATCTGTTGGGCGAGGTCAGGGTTCAAGGGTTCTGCCGCCGAGGCGTTGCGGGGAGGGCGGGGGCTGCCAGGCCCTCCCATGCCGCCCTGGCGGCGGTGTGCAGCGATCTAGGTCGGCCGCGCCAGTGCCCGCGCCAAGTCCAAGCCGCCGCCGCCCTGGCGCTGCCAGGGCCGCCGCCGCCGCCGCACGCGCTGCCGCCATTTTGGGGGCCCAACCCAAAACCCTTTGCTTTGAGCGGGCTTTGGAACTGACCAGAGCCCTTGCTGGTGTGGACTGCAGGTGTACGCACCATCACCACAGACCTCAAGGCTGCCCTCGCCGCCAAAATTCCCGGGGAGCAGGTGGGCGGCAGCCGCTGGAGCGCAAAGCATCAGACACGGTTGCGCATGCCGCCTGGCCGCCGGCGAGCACCAACACCGCATCCCTGCAGGCTCTGTGGTCTCCTGAGTGGGTGCTGCTGCCGCTCCATTAGCTGTGGACACCCTCGCCCCTTGCCTCCCACAACCCCCTCCCCTGCCTGCCAACTACTTCTCACAGGAGCGCCTGAAGAAGCTGAGGAAGGAGCATGGCAGCAAGGCGCTGGGCGCCTGCACCGTGGAGCAGGCCATCGGCGGCATGCGAGGCGTTCCGGTGAGGCAGGGTGGGGCGCCCGCCGCCTGTGGAGCTGGGGCGGCAGCAGGCAGGAGATGGCAGCATCCAGCATGGCCAGCTGCAGTGGTGCCTTGGATGCCACCACCACTCCAAGCCTGGGGAAGCTTGGGCTGGTATTGGGAGTGCCTGGCATGGCGATTGCCGACCGCTGCGCCTGCCCCATGCCTGCCCCACGCCGCCGCTTGGCTGCTGCCCTGCCTGCAGGCCATGCTGTGGGAGACGAGCCTGCTGGACCCCGAGGAGGGCATCCGCTTCCGCGGCTACTCCATCCCAGAGCTGCAGGTGGGTGGGTGTTGTGGATAGGGTGTGGGTGCGGGTGGAGGGGCAGCGGGTTGGTGGATTCGCAGGAGGACCACGGCCTGTGAGATGGGTGGGGGAGTGGTTGGTGCACAGCCACAGTGCTTTTGCTCGGAGGATGTTGGCGCCCTGTGTCGCCAGGTGGTTGTTTTCCTCCCTGCTCGCCGCCGCGCGTCACGGCGGCGGCGGCTGCTGCTCCTCCTGCCGCAGGACAAGCTGCCCAAGGCGAAGGAGGGCGGCGAGCCTATCCCAGAGGGCCTCCTGTGGCTGCTGATGACTGGAGAGGTGGGCAGGGGTGTGGGTGTGGGCAGGGGTGTGCGGTGTGTGTGGTGTGGTGTGTGTGTGTGTGTGTGTGTGTGTGTGTGTGTGTGTGTGTGTGTGTGTGTGTGTGTGTGTGTGTGTGTGTGTGTGCGCGCGTGTGGTGCGGTGGCAGGGGACCACGGGCGGGGCAGTTGTTTCAGGCTGCTTGGTGGCTTGCTATGCAAGCAGAGCACCCGCGCAGGCCTGGCGCGGCGGCCACCCGACGCGCCCTCCTCGATGCCGGCACCCGCTGGCCTGCGGTGCTGTTGACACGCCGGCTCTGTCCCCTTGCAGGTGCCCACCAGCGAGCAGGCCCAGGCTGTGACGGAGATGCTGCGGGACCGCAGCAAGCTGCCGGACCACGTGCTCAAGGTGGGGCAGTGCGGCGGTCAGCCTGATGGGGGGTGAACAGCCTCCGAGCTCCAACGTTTGTTTGGGGACAAGGGAGAGGTGGCAGCCCATTGGGCCGCTGGCATGGCAGACCTATTGGTCGACCTTCTGTCTCCTCCAACCACTCGCCGCGCTGCCTGCCTGCCGCGCCTGCCGCAGATGCTGAGCTGCCAACACCCCGACACACACCCCATGACCCAGCTGGCCACCGCGGTGCTCGCGCTGCAGGTGCCTTTTGTTGTATTGAGGGGGCGGTGCATGCGTTGGTTGCTGCGCTGTTAGTTGGTCGCAGCAGAGAGCCGGCAGGGCATTTGCAGCGCTGGGCCTCAGGTTCACTTGGCACCTCCTGCCCTCCTGCCTGCAGGTGGACAGCAAGTTTGCGGCTGGATACCGCAGCGGCATCCACAAGACCAAGTGAGCCTGGGCTGGGTGTGCCTGTGTGTCTGTGTATGCGGGTGGGTGGGAAGGGGGCAGGCCTCTGGACCTGCCACCCCACAAGAGAGTTGACCGAGCCGTTGAGCCTAGGAACAGCTGCAACCCACCAACCATGTGCCGGTATATTATGCCGCCCTTTACTTGGTACCGCATTGTACCGCAGGTACTGGGAGCCAGTGTTTGAGGACTCCATCGACCTCATCGCCAAGCTGCCCACCATCGCCGCCGCCATCTACAGGCGCGCTGTGCACGCTGGGCTTGCCGTGCACACCTGGCGCCCTAGCTGAAGGCTGCCGCTGCAAGTCTGCTTGCGCTTGCTCGCAACCTTGCCCGTGCCCTCATCTTGCCCGCGGTGCGTCTCCCTGCCCGCAGGAACACGTACAAGGGCGGCAAGCTGATTGAGGCGGACCCTAAGCTGGACTGGGGCGCCAACCTGGCATACATGATGGGTGCGCCGGGAGGGCAGGCGGGCGCCGCCGCCGATGATGCGTGGGGCCGGCCCCCAAGTGCCAGTGCTGCACAGGCACCAACCTGACTTTGAATTGACTTCCCTGCCCTGCTGTGCCCAGCCCATGACTTACGCTTCTCCCCTCCTCTCCCGCGCATCCATCCTCTGCTGCAGGGTACACGGATGAGGGGTGCCTGGAAATGATGCGCCTGTACCAGGTGCGGTTGCCCGGCGCTGCGCCTCCACCCCCAGCCTGCCTGTCCATAACACCGACATCTTGTGTCCCCATGCGCACCGCTCCGGCGGGTCGTTGTGGTCAACCGTTCGCCGCCCGCTGCACACAACCCCCGCCTCGCCTGCCTGCCCCCTGCTGCCTGCAGACAATCCACACCGACCACGAGGGCGGCAACGTGTCGGCGCACGCCACCCACCTGGCAAGCGCTGGCCGCCGCTCTCTGCTGCCTGGGCGCACCGATGCCAGCTCGCCGTTATATCTGTCCTGCTCACGGCCCTCTCGGCCCACAGACATCAGTAACGCTTGACAGTACATTGACACCCCCCACTCTTGCTCCTGACGCTCCTCAAACCCCGCCACCCGCCCTGTTCTGCAGGTGGGCAGCGCGCTGAGCGATCCCTACCTGTCCTTTGCGGCGGGCATGACCGGCCTGGCGGGGCCGCTGCACGGCCTGGCCAACCAGGAGGTGCTGCGCTGGCTGACCGACGTGCGCCAGCAGGTGAGGCGCTGGCTGGCGCAGACAGGGAGCCACGCCGCGACCTGGGCCCTTGGCTACCCGTGTCCCTCCAGCATGCTGTGCTGTGCTGTGCTGCGCTGTGCTTTGCTGTGCTGTGCCGCTGACGGGATCGGTCGCCTGATGCCGCCCACCACCTGCCGCTGATGCCCCCCGCACATGCGTGGTCACACACCCCCACGCACGCCTCTTCCCCGCCCCTGCCCCTGCCGCCGCAGGTTGGTGACAACGTGACCAAGGAGCAGCTGTCTGAGTTTGTGTGGAGCACGCTGAAGAGCGGCAAGGTGGTGCCCGGCTTTGGACACGCGGTGCTGCGCAAGACGGACCCGCGGTGAGCCGCCGAGCCCGCGAGGGGGGCACAGGCAGCCTGGGCTGCTAGTCGCGCCCGTGTGCCAGGCGGCAGACGACGGGTGTCGCCCGGCCTCGCCAGAACTCTGGTCGTCTTACCTGCTCTTGCTGACCGCCCCGCGCTTTCCTCTCCTCCCCTCCCGCCCCGCAGCTACACGTGCCAGGCGGGCTTTGCCCAGAAGCACATGCCCGAGTACCCGCTGTTCAAGCTGACGGCTCTGCTGTACCAGGTGGTGCCAGACATCCTCAAGCAGACGGGCAAGGTGTGCGGGGGTGGCTGGCGTGGCTGCACGTCGCCCACCTGGCTGGAGTTGCGGGGCCGTCCGCGAGCGAGCGTTGCAGTTGGGGCGTGCCGCCCTTGTCAGTGTCTCGCCTCGGCTCCCCGATCCGACGGTACAGTCATGCGCTGACCTGCCCCGCCCCGCCCTGGCCCGCCCTGCCCTGCTCCTGGCCTGCAGGTGAAGAACCCGTACCCCAATGTGGACGCCCACAGCGGCGTGCTGCTGCAATACTACGGCATCACCGAGGAGTGAGTGGCTGGCTGGGTGGCTGGCTGGGTGGCTGGGCTGGGCTGGGCTGGGCTGGGCTGGGCTGGGAGGCTAGCAGGCTGGATGGCCTGGCCGCTGCGGGCTGCCTGCGCGTCCATGCGGCCTGCTGCCTCGCCTTGTGGCCAGCTGCCTGCTCGGTGGCCTGCGTCACTGACGCCTCTGCTTGTCCTGCTCCCTTCCCCTGCACCCCCTCCTCCGGCCCCGCAGGAACTTCTACACCGTGCTGTTTGGCGTGTCACGTGCGCTGGGCGTGCTGAGCCAGGGCGTGTGGAGCCGCGCGCTGGGCCTGCCCATCGAGCGCCCCAAATCGCTGACCATGGCGGCCATGGAGGAGCGCGCCCTCCAGCTGGAGTCCTCTGCCTCCATCTAGGCTGATGCCCCAGTCATCCATCGTCCCGTGGCGGGGCTGCCTAGCACCGTTACACCCCCTCCCCGAGTCATCACTGCTCGCGCTCACTGCCCCACTGTGCGCACGCCATTTCTGCGGCCACAGCAGCTGAGGGGGCGAAGCTCCAGCCCTGGCCGCCCCCCGCGCTCTGCGAGCGCGGGCACAAGTTGTCGTTGCGCACCTGCCCACCACACAGCACTTGTTCAGCGCCCCTGTTCCACACCCTTCTGTTGCCTCCTGTGACCCGTTGTCCAGTGCCCATGCATTGTGGCAGCCTGCGGCTGCCCTGCCTGCTCCCTTGAGCTGCTCATTGTGCTGCTCCTTTCCCATGCGCCCGGCGTTTTGTAGCAGGCTCCTTTGCCCTGCGGTGTCCCCGGGCCCCCTGTTGCCGGCTGAACTCATCACATGTAATCTGCCATGCCGGCCTGCGGAACGTTAAAAGTGCGGCGCAGCGGCTTTCTCTCACGGCGACGGATGCTGCCAGCGTCCCCCTGTTGTTTTGATTTGCACCTTTGGACAGGCAGGCAAGCAAACAGCAATGAATCAACATGCAGGTGTGCAGTCGTGAAGCAACTGGGCAGGCAGTGCTTTCGCACACAGAGAGCCGGCAGGTCCTACAGGTACACGCAGCCCATGAAGGGCAGGCTGCACAGCGGCCGGGACAGCAGGCGGCCCCCGGCGCTGCCGCCCAGCTCCCACTCCACGCGCTCCGTCTGCAGCAGGTCCCGACCATACCACTCGCCAAACTGGGCCACACACTGGCGCCTCGTGGCTGCAGCCAGAGTGTTTTGGAAAGCAATGTGAGAGCAGGAGGGAGGCAGGCAGCATGCCACGGGCTGCCTACGCATGGCTGCACAGGGCTGCACCGAACATGGGCGAGGTCCCCGCTCACCCAAGTGCTTTGCCCGGGCCTTGCTGATCCCCACCCCAGAGAAGGCAGACAGGTCCAGGCGGCGGCTGGGCTGCGACCACACCACATGTGGCAGCTGCCTGCCCAGCTTCCCCTTTTGTTGCTGGTGGTGTTCCTTCTGTTGCACGTGTCCTGCCGCTGAGTTGTTGCCGTGTGCATCGCCGGCTGCCTCTGCGGCCGAAAGCCCAGCCTCCAGCCCCAGCGGCTGCCTCGGCTGCCGCTGCCGCTTGCGGATGGCTGCCGCCACCACAAAGTTGAGCAGGATGTCCTCACAGTTGATCAGCCTGCCCACCAGCTCCCGGCCTGCAGCCACATATCCAACATCCCGACTCAGCTTCTGCGGTGGAATCTGCCAGGACAGCCACCAGCGCACGGCCTGCAGAGGCAGCTGCTTGGTGCCTGCTTGCCCCACCGACAGGCAGTACCGTGGACCATACCTTGGGCGTACTGCTCCGACCAGTACTGCTCCAGCAAGTCGCGGGACGCAAACTCGCCGGCGGTCAGCAAGACATTGAACCGCTGCTCCTTGAACACCACATGCTCAGGTAGGTACTGCATAGTGTGTGGTGCGTGGGTTGGTGCAAGTGCCCTGGCCGGCCCACCAGCACGCATGGCAAGCTGTTTGTAGAAAGGAAGACATGCAGGCAGCCTGCTAGCCATCAGGCGAGCCGCGGCGCACCTGCGGAGGTGGGCCGGTGCTGATGAGGCGGGGGAAGAAGCCCACGAGCGCTTGCTGGTTTGCCTGCCACCTGGCAAAAGCTCGCTCCACGTCGGCGCACCTGAGAGGAAACACATCAGGAGGTCGGCATGGCCAGCATGGCAGTGCAGGACGTGCCCAGAATGGCACACGCTGCCAGAGGAATCCTTTGCAACAATGGGGAGAGACGCCTGGTGCGGCTCTTGACTCACCGCATCAGGACATCGTCATCAGCCAGCAGCACCGCCTCCGTGCTGATGCCAGGGTCGGGGCGCATACGGTTGCTGAGGTCGTTCTGTGCGGCGGGGGAGGGCGGTGCGTGGGCAGACCAGGGTAGGTGGCAAGCTGGCCGCTGCTGCAGGGATGGCCCTGGCCGGGAAAGCCGTAGGCAGCGGGGACCCAGAAGCAATGCTGGCCTCTCACCTTTGGCTCCTGGCGGATGCGCACCGGCGCCCGGCAGTCGAAGAGGTACGGCAGTGGCGGGTCGTCGCCATTCCACACAAGCAACACCTCGGCCACTGTGGGACAGGCAGGTGGCAGGACAGGCGTGCCAAGTAAGAGCCCTTGGCCTGGACGTGTGCAGCAGCTGGCGGCTTTCCTGGCCCGGGGCAACCTGGATGCTCATAGCGGCTGTTGCCACACCTACCGCCCCACCTGAAGGACAGTTGCCCAGCTGATTGATGACGAGGATCAGCAAGGAGACGCGCGCCTTGTAGGACATCACAACCACCGTGTACTGGCTGCTGCCGGTGGCAGCGGTACTCTCGTTGTTGGCAGGCAGCTGGGCCAGCTGGCCGCCACGTGTTGCTGCAGCCCGGGCTGTTGCCGCTGCAGCCTGAGCCTCTGCCGCCGCCGCAGCCACTGCTGCAGGCGATTCCCAAACAATGCTGAGGGTGTAGTAGGCCACAGCTGCCACCGCCGTACAGGCCGCAATAGATGCCGCCAGCAGCACTGCCATGGCAAGGTACAGCGCGATCCGCAGGAGGTGGCGCTTCCTCCTGCGGCCGCCCTGGCCGCCGACGCTGGAGGCGCTGCCGGTCCTGCGATGACTGCTGCCAGGCCTGGCCCGCGTGACAGGCAGCACCGGCTCCCTGCCGCCAGCCAGCATGCCGAGCAACGGCGAAGCATCGGCAGCGGCAGGGGCGCTGCTGCCGCTGGAGCTGCCGCTGCCCACAATCTGGCGCAGCCTGCCCAGCATGATTGCACGCCTAGACGAGGCAAGAGGAGAGCAAGGCTACAAGGGTTAGCGCCCAAAGAGGAGAGGGCGCGTGCAGGTGCTGCCCGCACTCGTCAGGCCAGTAAGAAGCCCAAACGACAGTGTGCAAGGGGCCCAAAGAGGCTGTTCAGTGGCGCTTGGCCCAGACGACCCTCTGCCCTCCGCTGGCTGCTCGGCTCCCTCCAAGGTTGAGGCGGGCCAGTCACGAAGGCAAGCAGGAAGCAGCAAGGTGGCGCGGTGAAAGCTGTCCTTCCAAGAAGTCTGCGCACGAGTTGGCTGGCATGGAGTTGGCTGCCATGTCCCGCCGCCGTGCCGCCGCTGTACCGCGCCTGCTTTGCTCGATTGCAATGCCCAAAAGCCAATGAAACGTGACAATGAAACCCAGTGATGGACAATGCGCCAGGGGAAAGTGCCAAAACAATAAGAAGGGATGAAAACATTCATACGAGGTTTGCCCGCGCCCGCCTCACCCCGCCGCCTGCAGCCGCTGCAGCGCCTCGGCCGCGGTGGGGCGCAGCACCGGGTCGAACGCCATGCAGTCTTGGATCAGCTGCACCACAGCCTGCGGGCACTCGTCGGGCACACGTGGCAGGCGCCACTCGCCGCGCTTCGTTGCCAGCTGCCGCGTCGTGAGCTCCGAAAGCAGCACAGCAAAGCTGTACATATCAACCGCCACGGTGCACCGCTCATACATGAGTTGCTCCGGAGCTGCAGCGGGAAAGCGGGCGGCTTCTGTGCTTGATTCATGCATGCCTGTGTAGGGCAGCCCCAGACCGCACCACAGCTGGTAGCGGCACTCAAGACTCCAGCCAGCGTGAGCGGCACACCCACCAGCATACACGAGGCTGCCGCCGCGCAACGTGTGGGCGCGTCCTTCCAGCAACTGTGCCAGGCCTAGGTCAGCCACGTATGCCCGCAGCTCGCCAGACAGCAGCACATTGCTGCAGGCAACGAAGAGGGTGAAGCTTGTATGAAGAGGGACGATGCAGGGAGGCGACTGCAGAGCAGCAAAGCAGGTGCTGGGCAGGGGGGCAGCATCATGACTTCCAGAGCTGCCGGCCGGCCACTCACGCTGCCTTGAGGTCGCTGTGCACGATCTGCATGCGGGTGTGCATGAAGTGCAGCGCCTCTGCAATGTCCAGCGCCACCTGGCGTCCGCTGCACGGCGCAAGGCAAGGGCAGGGCATTTCTGAATTATGTGCTGCAGTTGAGTTGACTCCGCGTGTGGAATGCGACGGCAACGGCACAGGGCAAGCAGCATGTTGAGAGCGGGAGGCAACCAGCTGGCTGGCTGGCCCCAGCATCAGCCCTTTTCCTTCCCGAATGTGCAGCCTGGGTCGCACCTGGCGCTCCACCGAAGTTGTTGCTGCTTCTCGGGTTCCAGCAGAGCAGACCTCAGGGAGCCGCCGCGCATGAGCTGCATGGCCATCAGGAACAGCTGGACCTGCAGGCTGGCAGGCAGGCAGGCAGTTGGCCACCTGGCAGCAGTACCGCCAGCAGTACCACCAGCATTTCGTACGCAGGACTACAGGCAGGAATGTCACCGGCAGGCAAGCAGGGGACGTCGACCACCGCGGCCTTGGGGGGGCGGCAGCAAAGCAGAGGCACCTGGAGGGAGACGCCATACACCGGCACGATGCGTGGGTGGGTGCACAGGCGCGCCAGCAGCACCTCGTGCCACATCACCGCCGAGTCCGCGCCCGCCGGCAGCTCCAGCACCTGCGGCGGTGCCCGCGGCGCCGGGAGGTGTCAAGGCCACCACCACTTGTTAACGAGCAGGTGCCTGGGCTCAGTGGATGGGGCGTGGAGCGTACCCCACAGCCCAGCCCAGCCCAGCCCAGCCCAACCAGCCCGGGTGCCAGCCCACCTTGACTGCCACCGGGTCCCCGTTCAGCTCTCCCAGGTAGACCACCGCATGCGCCCCCTCCCCCAGCTCCACAAGCTGCCCGTCCTCGCCCTCGCACAGCTGCAGGCAGGGGCAGGCTCAGGCAGCGGGCGAGCCGGCAGGGCGGACATCTGGGCACCAGCTTGGCGCCGGGGCCAGCCATGCGCAGCTGGGCTGGCTGCCCTGCAGGGCATTCAGGGGCTGCAACCCTTAGCCTTCAGGGGCTGCGCCCTCCTGAGGTGATCACCTGCAGCTCCCCAGGAGAAATGCGCATAGAGTCGGTGGGCAGGCCCCACTGGCGGGACCGGGCAGCTGCGTCTGCCGCACCGCTGCCCGGCTGAGGTGACGCGCCGGTGCCTGGGCTGCCGCTGAGGGTGCTGCCGGGGGCAGCCCTGGCCCGCAGTGAGCCCAGGCGGTGAGCCAGCGCCTCTGGCAGCGCCTCCAGCGGCAGCAGCTCGATTCCTCCCAACCCCCGCCCCGCCACCTGCTGGTCAGAGTTGCTGCGCGCGAGGCCGCACCGCCGCAGCGCGTCCCGCCGGGCCCGCCGATTAAGCCCGACAAACGAGACCCCTGGCGGCAAAGCGTCGCCTGCTGCACCCTCGCCGCCGCCGCGTGTGCTGCTGCGCTGGAAAGTTGGCGGCAGCGGGTCCTCGGCATTCCCCTGCTCGAGCCGCTGCCACCTGAAACGACCTTGGCGATGTCGGAACAGCGCGCGCCCGCCGACGCCGACAGCTACCAGGATGAGCATCGGGAGCAGGGTGGCCAGGCTGGCTACTGCTGCAGGACCGAGCAGCGCAGGCTGCCGCGCCGTTGCGGCCCCGGCAGGGCCGCTGTTGCTTCCTGGCATAAACTCAGATCCCATAACCTCGATCCTGCCGGCAGCGCAGCGGGGCATCTGTGCGTCCACCGATGTGCTGTCAATGTTCCTGCAACCCCGCGCAAGCAGCCCTCCCACCTAGCGTGACGGCTGCCGCTAAGGCGTGCCAACAACAAGCAGGCTAAGGATACCCCCGCTGGAACAGGGCAGAGCTGGACTCACAAGCTCAACAGGCGGTCAGCGGCGGCGACTGCCTGGCACCAGCCCTGTGGCACCCTTCCATGCACGTTTGTCTTGGCAAGGAACCTACAGCAGCGGATAGCGCACGCCATCAGGGCCAGCGTCCCGGCAAGAAAACCAAACGGGAATGCAGAGCTGCGCTGGAAGCCCAATGCCTGCAATAGTAGGAACCTGCTGCAACCCCGCAGCGCAGGCAGGGCACTCACATGGATCTAATGATAGGCCAGGGAAGGCTGGCGGGCAGCGTGCCGCCAATCTTGGTGTTGCCTGACAGGTCGAAAAAAGTCAGCATGGGAACGGCACCGGCGTGCAGCCAGGCGGGGGGGAAGGCGGGCCCTGAAAGGAAGTTGTCGCCAAGGTCCAACACCTCGACAATTGAAGTGTTCCATTCCGGTGGCAGCGTCCCAGTCAACAGGTTGTGGCTCACCTGCACGGCACAGCAGACGTGTGTCGGGTGCCGCCTATGCGCTGCTACCACAGACAATCTGCCGGACTTGCTGCTATCACTCACCCCAAGCTTGAATAAGCCTTTGGGTAGCTGAGGTGGGAGCGGCCCCGTTAAGCTATTCCTTGACAGAACTCTGTGGACACCAGGTCAGGGAATCTCAGATATGGGCAGCAGTGGCCTGGCCTCTCATATAGTATCAATGCAGGACAGGCTAGGAACAACAAACATGGCGGCCGGCATGCAGCGTGGCTCACATGCTTTGGAGGGCCGGGAATCCGTGCTGCCATGTCCCCGGGAAGCGCCCCGTGAGGCCCAGCTCGTCCAGCAACAGAAGCTCTAGCTTGGGGAAGCCGGCGCCCCACTCAGGCGGCAGGGTGAAGCGCTGCGCAGGGTCAGTGCCTGGCGGGACTGCTGGCCGCTCGGCCGGCATTCGCTGAAAGCCAGGCAACGGGCCCAGGTGTAAACGCTGCAAGGACTGGAGGCCGCGGGCCCATTCTGGCGGCAGGACCCCAGTCACTCCCCCCAGCACCTCTAGCTCATTCAGGGCGGGCAGCACATCGACGCGGCTGCCCCAGCTGGGAGGCAGCATGACTGTTGTGCTGGTGAACTGCAGGCGGATGGTACGCAGCAGGAGCATCGCGCCCGGGCGGATGTCGGGCAGGGCGCCCTCCAAACTGCCGCCGTGCACGCTCAGCCTGCAGGTGAACGACAATGTCACAACATTGTTCTTCAGGCCTTGATGGGCACGTCCAGCTGCTGAATGCTCTCACAGCAAGGCAGGGACATGCGTCTGTGGACATGAATGCAAGCCCAGAATGGGAGCCGCAGCCTCCCTCGTCTCACCAGAGCAGGCTGGGGAAGGAGCCAGGCTGGCCCCACTCTGAGGGCAGCGCCAGTCGGACCGTCATGCCAAAGCTGAACTTCTCCAGGTGCCGCATCCGAGCCAGCTCTGGCGGGAGCCGTAGCGCTGGTGCGCTGCCCGCTGCGCTGGCATTGCCGCTGTCGGCGACAACAGGGCGCATTCCTGTGGGCGAAAAGCGCCTTGCCGCCTTGTCTTCGGGGCTGAACCAGCGGAGATCTCTGCAGCGGTGGACCAGGCACAGGCGCACATGGATCCAGGGTTGCCATGGGGCTACATGCCGTGATGCTGCTGCCGGGGAAGAGAACAGGCGCTGATGCTTCATGCACAGGCTGATGCTGCAGCGCCTCTGCTTCCAGCCCTGCTCTCACTCACAGGTTGGTGATGCGCAACTGCGTGTCGCACACCACCATCTCCCACCCGCACGGCACTGCTGTGCTGTTGGGCCGCCAGTCCACCAGCTTCTGTGCCAGGGCGGGTTGTGCCGAGTGCAGGTCGTGCCGCAGCTTGATCATGACGGCCGCCTCTGCGGCACGAGGAAGGGGCGGGCAGCGATGTTTGCGGGCAGGGCGGCATGGCAGGGTCCACAAGCCCTGCTTCCTGTGCACCATCACCTTGTGCTAGTGTGAGGTATGCGCCGGAGGTGCCAGGCAGGAGCGCCAGCAGCAGGAATGCCACCATGCCCACGGCTGCCGGGACCCGCGTGGCGGCAGTGGCGCCATGACAGCCAGGGTGCCGCTTCATGACCGTGGTTTTAGCTTGATGCTCTTGCCATGCAGCTGGTTAAGTCCTGGGCCATGCCCTGGTGTCATGGTGGTAGAGGCTGCGCGGGCAGCGGCCGGCGGTGGCAGGCAGCGGAGGTGGTCACTGCCGCCGCCTGGCGGACACCGCCTTCTGCCACCGGTCGCAGCCCCGTGAGCGCTGTTGGAATCGTTCAGGCGCGGCTGGGGCGCTAGCACCCTCGCTGTTCGGCGATGCGTGTCGGCAAGGGAAACCCTTTCTCCGCGAGCCCTGCGGTAGGAGCCCCTTCGCGAACGGCAAGCACCTGCGCACCTGTGCACTCTCTGTTTGTAAACAAATTGTTGCCAGCCTGGCCGCCACCTCGTCACCGCCACCTCGCCGCCGCCGCCGCCTCGGCACACCACTTTGGCTCATGCATTACAGGTATAGACAAACGCATATGCCGCTACAGCTACCACCAACCATGTCACGGTGACATCTCCAGCAGTCCAGCTGATGCACATCCTCGCACATGACCACGCTACAGCTCCCGTTCCCCAGCGAGTGCCCCCTACATACCCAGCTCCTTGCTGGCTCTCTGAAACTCCACATCCCCCGCCCGCTCCCTCTCCATCTGCGCAATGCTGCGCTGCAGCTCCTCCAGCCTCTCGCCGGGGGCCTGCTGCTCCTCGGCGGTGCCTGCGGCAGGGTAGGGAGCGGGAGGCGCAGCTGGCCCTCTTACAAAGTTGTTGCCAGGGGCGAACTGCGCCGGTGCTGTGCGCCGTCCTCGAGGCGGCGCACCTGTGGCCTTGGCGGCGGCGTGCTTCACGGACCCTGCAGCCCTGGACGCCATTTGGCCGCCGGCCTCTGCAGCCCTGGTCAGCAGGCCTGGGTGGGCCTCGCCACCAATGGTAGGCTCCACAGCCTGGCCCTCGCCCCCCTCAGCCTCCACCGCGGCATCTGCGCTGAGAAAGGCCGGCACGCCTGGGGCAAAAAACTGGGGCAGGGCAGGGCTGAAAAGGCAGAAAGGCATGGAAAGCAAGCAAGGCGAGGGATCGCCAGCAGGCGCGGCGGCCGGCCCATGCACTCACCCTCCTGGGCATGCCTGTGAGAGGTCGCCGCCTGCTCCCGCGCCACCACAGCCGCGCTGGCGTCCCTGCCGCCGCGGCGCTGCCTGGCGGGCGGATGGTGCGCGGGGTGCACGCCCTCCAGCACAGGCCCAGGCCCCTCCGAGTCTGCACCGGCAGCAGCACGATCCGTAAGCGCAGCAGGAGTGGAGGCGATTCAGAGACAGACGGCTGCAGCCGGGAAGCAGCTAGCTTGCGAGCGAAAGACACCAAGAAGAAAGCAGCCAACCAATTCACCAGTTGAACCATGGGCAGAGCATGTCTTCTTCCACTCACCAGACTCATACCCAGTCTCATTCACCGCCTCCTGCCCGCGGCGAGAGGTGGGCGGCGGCGGCGGGTGGGGCGCCTGGTCTGGCGGCGCAGGCGCCATCTCGCGCACGCCGCTGCCCTCTGCGCGGGTCTCGCCCTCACCTGCACTTACACAATGACTTGGGGGGGTCGACGGCAGTGCAGATGCACAGCTGTAGCATGCTCAGCTTCAGCAGGCATGAATGCGCCCCGCCCACCCACCCTCAGCAATGCCCTTGAGCGGCGCGCCCTGCCCGCCTATGTCCGCACCGGGGGCCTCCTTGGATAGCACTGCAGGCAGGAGGAGGTTCAGCATGTAGCAGCGCCATAGCAGTCGTAGGCGCAGGGTTGATGCTGTCAGGCAGGGCACAGCTGCCTGGTCCCCCACCGTCCCAGGCCTGTTTCAAGGTGGGCGCAGGGCGGGTGCAGGCATGCAGGGCGCCGCTGCCTCTCCCTGTGCAACCCCACAAGAGCAAACCCACCGTGGTAGGCCTTGTCAGCCAGCGACTCCACGCCGTGCACAGCGGCCTGCAGGTGGAAAGAAAACACGTGCACGAGTGTGAACCTTCGAAGCTCCAGCCCGCGCATTACATTCAACTTATTACGTATTCGATCGCAGAGCCCAGCCTCCACGACCAGCCCACTTCCGCCAACTCACCCTGGCCACTCCCGCCACGGCATGCAGCGCTGAGGCCACTGGGTCCTCCCCCGCCGCCTCCTCGCCCCCAGACTCCGTCTCTTGCACCACCTGCAGGCGCCCAGGCAGGGCAGGACACAGGCCATACGCAATAGGCTACTACAGGGTCGAGATCGCGCAGCGTGGACGGCGGAGACGCGGCCGGTGCCACGCCTCACCTCCCCCACTTGCTCGCCGCCCGGCTGGACAGCCGCCAGCGCGCCCTCGGTCGCCTCCTCCACAGTCTCACGTGCAGCCTGCAGGCGCAAGCGTAGCGCTAGCATGTATCAAAGGAGCGCTGCCGGTGTGAGCTTGCTGTGCTGCAGATCCGGCCCTGCTCCTCGCCGCCACCCCGGCGCACCTGCAGCAGGCCCCTGTGGCCGCCGCCGCCGGCCTCTTGGAAGTCCTCGATGCTCTCTGCGCTGACAGGCTCCGAAGGTTCCATCAGAGCCGCCGCCTCCTCCTCCTTAGCGCCCGCCCCGGCGGTGTCGGCAGCGGCGCCGGTGCCAGGCAGCTGCGCAGCGGCAGCGGCCTGCTGCTGGATCATGTCCAGCTCGCTCTCGGGCACGCCAGCTGCAGGCAGAGGGAGTTTAGCGAGCTCAACTGAGCAGTATACAGTCTGGGGCAGACGGAGTTGTCGCGACACAATGCCAGCTTCCATGTGGCTTCCAGCGGCTCAAAGCCAGCTTGAGAAGACAGGTTGTCCCATGCCGCAGCAGCTCACTCACCCCACCGCACCAGCCACGCGATGGCGGTGGCGGCGGCAGCGATGGCGCCACTCAGGAGCAGCACGGGGCCAAAGTCGCCGAGCGCTGCCGGCAGGGGGAGGCAGGGGAAGTTGGAAAGCGGTAATGCCCGCCGCAAAGTGCGGGGCACTGGGCTATCCACGTGTGCAGCAGGCTGGCACATTGGCTCCCCACCTGCGGTGGCAGCTCTGTTGAGAGCCATCCACACCAGCGGGATCGCGACCGCTGCCCCCGCCGCCAGCACAGGGTGCATCCTCACCCACTCCACGGCGCTCTGCAGGGCACAGCACACACACCGAGTCCAGCGCCTCGAGCACCTCACGAGAGCAACACACACAGGGCGGGCGCCACAGGAGCACGGGGCCCTCCGGTCTTGCCTGAAACAGCAGCGCCATGCGGTCGGCAGGCGCCGTGGCGCGCAGCCCCACATCCTGCAAGCCACATCACCCTCAGTGATAAGGAGGCTTCAGGGCTCCAGCACAGGGGCATGGCAGTTTCTGCAGCGGCCCGCAGCTGAGCAGCAGCCCTTGCGCGACTTCCTGCTATCGGCGCTCATTCGGTTGTCCTGCAGCCCTCCCGCCCTCACCCCGACCGGAGGCACATCCTCGCCGGCCACGCTGCTACCAAAGGTGGTGCTCGTCTGCAGGCGACTGGGGCCCCTGCTTGCAACCTTGCCGGGGCCGCCGCCACCGGCAGCGCTGGTCCCAGCCTCAGGGGCCTGCCCGCCTGGCGTTGCGGCAGCGCCAAAATCGCCCGCCCCGCCAGACACGGGAGAGGTCGAGACGGTCGGGGAGGGCGGCGGCTCCCTCAGCCCGCCGATACTGTACTGGGAAGCCAGAGGCTCCTGCGGGGAGGGAGCAGGGCCAGGGAGTGGAGCAGCAGGCTTGGTGAGTCGATGCAGGGTGTGCAAGGAGCCAGGTAGGACGCCAGGTAGGACGCCAGGTAGGACGCCAGGTGTAGGACGCCAGGGTGTGCAGCATCCTGCAGCTCCCCAGCCAAGCTGGGGCGCCAGCCTGCCTGAGTGGAGCCCTGCCGCGCCTCTCCAGCTGGCACCTCGGGAGCGGCGGGCGCCTGCGCCTCTGCGGCAGCGGCCTCGTCGCTGGGCCTGGCCGCCTCAGTATGCTGCAGGGGCTCGTCCTGCACGGTAGCACACAGGCAGGAAGGCAGCAAGCAGGCAGAGAGGCAGCAGTAAAGAGGCGGGACGTCAAGCCAGCTGGAGGGGCAGCACGCAAGGACAAAGCTATATACAGCGTAGAATGAGTTGGTCAGGTATTGCATAGAGTGCTGGGTACCTTCTTGTGCCCATAGTGCCCAAGGTCTTCCACAAACTCCTCCAGCGCCTCCCCACCTTCCTCCACCACGCCACCTGCAGCACCCCCGGCGCCACCCACCCGTTGGCCGGCTCCTGGCGGCCGAGCGTGAGCGCCTGCCCTGCCGGCCTGCTCCGCCTCGGCCTCAAACCAGGCTGACAGCTCAGATGCCAGCTCATCGCGAGAGCCTGCCGCCAGGCGGGCGCCCCCCTCGGCGCCCACCCCGGCGCCTGCGCCCGCACCGGCAGCGGCGGCTCGGGGGCTGGTCACCGCCTCCAGTCCAGAAAGGTCCTGCAGGCGAGGAGTTGGTTGATACGGCCTATACCGAATCGTGCAGAGCCAGGGCGGCACGAGTGCAGCCAGGCTGGATGGCGCCGTCACCCTACCTTGAGCTGCATCCTGCCTCCCTCCCGCCGCTCCTCGCCCTCTGCCTCCGCCTGGCCCTGCAGGCCCTGGACCCCCCTGGCCGCCTCCCGCTGCTCCAGGTACTCCGCGGTGGCATCCAGGGACTCTGGCTGCGCCAGCTCAGCGCCTGCCAGCTCATCACCTGCCACCTCAGCAGCGCCCACCTCGGGCACCTCCTGCTCTGCAGCCAGGCTGGCATCCACAGCCAGCGACTGGCGGGCTGCCTCTGCTGCAGCCGGCTTGCCTGCCTCCGTCACCGCTACCGGCAGCACCCTGGACGGCCCGGGGCTGCGGGCGGGCGGCTCGGGGCTCTTGCCTGCCTCGGCGGGTGCGCTGGCAGAGACGGAAGGCTCCTCCGCCCCCTCCAGAGTCTGCAGCAGGCTGGTGCTGACAGCTGGCTCCTGCTCCACAGCCTCCTGCACATCGCAATGGCGTGGGAAAGGCAAAGGAGCCCCTATCAATCGATGTTTGGGATAGAGAAGGGCAAGATTGGGTCAGGAAGGATGAGCGTCTGGCTGGCCTGCTTTCCCCACCTTCATGGTCGGCTGCTGGGGCGCAGGTGGCACCGGCAGCACCGGTGAGCGCCGGCCGCCCTCGCCAAAACGCTCTTGAACCTCTCCCTCTCCCTCTCCCTCGCGTTCCTCCTCCCGCTCACCCTCCACGCTGCCGCCAGCCAGGCTGCCGCCGCCGGCTGCCACATCTGCGGCGCCGGCATCCTGCTCTGCTGCCAACTGGCGGCCATGCTCCAGCATATTGTGCAGCTGCTCCTGCACAGCATGCACAGCGCTCGCCGCGACACCCAGCAGGCTGGAAGCCATCCCGCCACCGTGCTTGTCAGCCTCCTGCAGGAGGCAGGCGGCAGGAAACGGAAGCAGAAGTGTTGTGTTCCAGGCACGAGAGCACATGCTGGAGGGAGGCTGGCAAGCCCTGCTGCTAGAGGTAACTGCGATCAACATTGGCAGCACACCTCGGCCTGCTCGGCGCCACCCTCAGGCTCAGGCTGTATCTCAGGCACCGCTTCGGCGGCCCCGCTCTCCACACCCTCCCTGCTGGCCTCCTCTGTTCCCATGCCAGCCAGTGGGGCCTCGGCTGCCTCTGCCGCGCCGCTCGCTGCCTCGAGTGCAGTGTCTTTCGTGACCTCGGCTGCCCCAGCAGTGCCCTCCACAGCTGCATCCTTTGCCGCCGCTGCCTTGTCGGCAGCGGCGGCTGCAGTCGTGGCTGTAGCGTCCTTGGCTGCCTGGGCAGCGCCGGAAGTCTTTTCCACTGCAGCTGCAGCTGCGCTGCTGACTGCCTGTCCAACCCTCTCCGCAGTCACCCTGGCAGCTGCCGCTGCGCTGGCCACCTTCTCAGCAGCGCCAGCAGCAGCGCCGGTTGCCGCCTCCTTGGCTGCTGTCGCGGCCTGGGCTGCCTTCTCCACCCCAGCAGCTGTCGTCTCCTTGGCAGCTGCGCCAGCCTCTGCTGCCTTGCTGACAGCAGCCTCCGCGGCAGCTGCCACAACGGGAGTGAAAGGCACCTCTGCGGCCTCCACCTTGCGCCGCTCCACCTCCGCTGCCTCCCCCTCTGTGGCTGCGGCCGCCTGACTGCCCTCTTCTTCGGGCTGCTGCCCTGGCACCACCGCAGACTCGAGAGCCTCCTGCAGCTCAGCATCAGATGGCAGGACCACCTGCCGCTCCTCCCTGCCTCCCGCCCTGCCAGGTGTCTCAGCCTCGGAAGCAGCCAGAGGCTCGCCCGGCGAGGCAGGCGGCTCGGGGCCTTCGCTGCCGGCGGGGTAGCGGCCGTGGCGGGGTGCTCTGCATCAGGAAAAGCAGCCGGAGGGCGCATCAGGTGGTGGCATTGGAGAGGCGCAAGAGCCAAGCTTATTGCTGAAAGCTGCAGCATGGTCCTGCACTGCCCTGGCAGCATGGCTTACGGGGTCGATGGCTCGCCGCTGGCAGCGCTTTCCCCAACCTGGCCTGCCCCCCCAGCAGCCTGCACAGAAAGAAAGGTGCGATCAGCACAGAACACCTCGCACCGCTGCTGCTTGCAGCTGATGGACAGAAACCCTGCAAACCACCGCCACCTCCATCACAGCTGCACGCACCTGCATCTGCTCTGCAAGCTCTTCCACCACCACTGCCTCGCTCTCGGTGCGGCGGTCAAGCGCGACCGGGACCTGCGGTACAGCGCAGGGCAGAAATGCGGCACAATAACTACATTGGTGCAGTTCAGTACAATCGAAGGACTGGAGAGGGGGTCGACGATAGAGCAGCGCAAGCTACGGCTGCATCAAGCTGATGCGCGGCACCAGCTCGTATGCTGCTGCCCTCACCCCAGGCCCGGGCTCCACGCGCCCCTCGGGAGTGAACACACTGGAGTCCACCTGCGCCCCAAACGGGCCTGCATGCAGCACACACGTGGGGCCACCTGGCTGTCTGTCTGGCTTTACCTGAAAGGCTACAAAATCAGCTTGGCACTCTTGCACCCAAAAGTGACAAGGTGCCACCCAGCACGGCAGCGTCATACCGCGGCAGGGGCACCCACCCATCTCCAGCCTCTCAGGCGAGGCCCCCGCAGCAAACTGCGCCAGCTCCACTTCCTCCTCCGTCTGCGCCTCCAGGGTGGCAGCTGGGCCGGGCGGCAGCACCTGCACCGGGCAGTGGGCAGGCTGCGGCGGCAGCTTGAGGCAGCAGCAAGGACGCGTGTGGCGAATCAGCCTGCCGGGCGCATGCCACGAGCTGCACTCTGCTGTGCAAACACGCTCTGCTCCTGCTGTGCTGCCAGGCGACCAGGGCTGGGGTGCTGCGCCTGCGCCTGGCCCCTCACCTCCAGAGCCTTGCTCACAACAGAGTCCCTCTTCTCATAGGCAATGGGGTCGCGCGGGCTGCAGGAGGGCACCCCGGCGCTCCAAGCTCAAATCTCGAGCAAGGGCTGGGCAAAGCGCATGCAATGCTGGCAGCCTGTGCGAGGCCAGGCACCCCGTGGCACAAGCGCTTGCTTCGGAAGACCCTTTGGTGCACACTCTTTTGGGCGCCACCACCCTCCCACCCACCTGTACACGCTGATGTCTTGGTCCTGGTTGAAGGCGCCCGCAGGCAGCAGCGGCTCTGACGGCGCGGGCTGAGGGCCGGCGGGCTGGCGCTCCTGGTGAGCAGGCCCCATGATGTATTCCTCACGCCCGCCGCTGCCGCTACCCCTGGCCTCGACCTGCTGCGCCGGCTCCTGCTGCCCCGCCTCTGCCAGCGGACTGGCAATGGCGGCGCCAGAAGGACGCTGCTCCTCCCGCCTGCTCAGCGGCGGCTCTGCCTCCGCCTCTGCCTCGGGCTCGGGCTCGGGCTCCGGCTCGGCACCCCCTCGGCTGGCGGCAGCTGGAGCAGCGGCGGCGGCCGTGTCTGCTGCCGCCTTGGGGCCTGCTGCCACGTCGGCGGCAGCCAGCGCCCGCCCCTGCTGCACGTCTGTGGGAGACAGGGGGCGCTCCCGCTCCTCAGCCTCAGCGGCAGGCGCCTCCTCCGCTGCCGCTGTGCCGCTCGCTGGCCTGCCAGGCTCTGCTGCCTCTTCCTCCGCCGCAGCAGCTGGGCGCGCACGCAGGTGGGCAGCAGTTAGGTCGGCCCTGCCGCCGACGTGGGTCAGGCCGGTGGTACCGCCCACAGCCGCCACCGGGCGCTCGGCTGCTGCCTCCCACCCATCTGGCGGCGCCGCGAAGGGCTGCGCGGCGGCCGCTGCCTGCTCTGCCGGCGAGGGAGCTCCGGTCTGGGGCGGCGCCAGGTAGGGCGATGCCATGGCGACAGCTGTAGCCAGGCGGCCGCGCCGCGACTCATCGCTGGCTGGCTTGAACAGAGCCAGCCCCTCCTCCTCCCGCATCTCAGCTGCCGCCGCCTCGCGCGCCGCAGCTGGCGGGGTCGCTGCCGGTGCGGGCGGGCTGGCAGGCTCGCCGGCGGCAGCAGGGGCTGGCGGGTGGGGCGCTGGGGTGGTGCTTGTGGGGCCGCCTGCAGCCATGGATGTAAACGAGGCAGCACGCATCCTGTTTGTTAGTATCCGCCTGTGCAGGCAGCTCTGCGCATGGGGTTCTGTGCCTTTCAGGGTGGTGCAGGCAGGCTGGCTGGCTGGCGGGCAAGCAGGCACCCCACCTGGGGCGTAGGGTGCCGCCTCAACGTGGCGCCTCGCCTGCTCCTGCTGCTGCCGCAGCGGCGCCTCGGCGCTGGGGGCCGCGCCGGCAGCAGTCGGGGCCTCCCTGGGAGCAGCGGCGCCAGGGGGCTCTGCCTCCTGCTCTGCGCGTGCCGTCAGCCGGCCGGGACGGTGGTGGCCTGGCACCGGCGCGCCGCCGATGGGCACCCCCACGTGAGCGGCGCGCTCCGCCGCAGAGCGCAGGCGGGCCAGGCGCTCGCGAGCCGACTCCAGGTCTGTCCTGGATTGCCTGCGGGCGGCGGAAGCATCCGGCAGGGGGCGGGCGATACTCAGAGGTAGCGTGAATCGCAGCATGGAAACGCGTGCTGCACGATGGCAGCCGGCAGGAAGCTGCCCCGGTGCTGTCCAAACCTGATGCAGGGAGCGGCAGGGAGCGGCAGCTGGGCGCGGGCGACTTGCCTGCCGGGGCTCTCTGGGCGGCCCGCCTCGGGCGGCAGGTGGGCGGATGCCATGCCTTGGTGCAGTGGGCTGGGGGAGGCGGGAGCTGCGAGGCCTGCTTCCAGGGGAGAGGCTGCAACCAGCTGTGGCGCCACAGCTGCCACCGCAGGCGTGGCCGGTGTCAGCGGCGCGCCACGCGGGGCCGCGTCTGGCAGCGGGGTGCCCAGGGGGGAGGGCGGGGCGACGGTGACCCAGCCGCCGCCGGGGGAGGAGGCGGCGGTGGTGGCGGGAGAGCCCGGCAGCTGCCTTGGACTGCCGCCAGCGGGCGAGGTTGACTGCCTTGGACTGCCGCTGCCGCGCTCCTTGTCCTTCTTGATGCCCAGCCTCGCTGCCAGCTTGCGGGTGCCGGCCGTGAGCTTGGAGAGGCCGTGCGGGTGGGCATGGCCGCCGCCGGGGCCCGGCCCCTCGGCAGGCTGCACACGGGCGGCAGCAGCGCAGCGAGGCGTGGGCAGGGACCTTGGATCGGGCAGGATCGAGGTGTCCAAGGCTAAGCTCCGTGCAGAACGAGCAAAGGCGCAGAGCCAGCGGCAGGGCAGGCCAACCCCTAGTTCAGGCTCCTGCACAGCATCCCCGGCGACTGCACACCTCCATGGCAGCGGTAGAGGTTGCTGGTGTTGTTGGGTTTGGGGAGAAGTCACGAGTCTCAGTGAATGTCGCCTGGCTGATCTCAACCACGTCTTCCAGCACTTGGTTTGCTTCTGAGATGCTGCGAAGAGGCCTGGAAGGGTCGTGTCTCCATCGCTGACCTGGCGGGCGCAGCGCAGCGTGCTGCCGCGGGCGGCGGCATGACGTATCCTCGTTTGTTGAACCCTTCTGCTGCAAGCGTTTACATTGAGGCTACAAAAACCAGTTCAAAAAGGGCTCGAATACCGAATGCATACAAAGTACTGAACGGATGGCATGATCGAGAGAGCAGTGCTTGGCCATCAAAAATCTGCTCAGCGCCCTCTACAGCGAGTAGCGGCTGATGCCATACTTTTCCCACACCTGCAGCAGCAGCAGCAGCAGCAGCAGCACGACGCCGGTGGAGGGTGCCCACAGACCACTCCGGCAGTAGACTTGCCATGAGAGGCAGCGTTTGTTGGCTAGCGGTGCTGCGTCGCCTCGCTGCCTCCACAAAAGCCCAGCCCCAGCCCCACCCCCGCCAGCCCCACCCAGCCCACCTTGCCCCACTCGGGGTACCACCCCACCGCCTGCTTCCTGAGCGGCGGCGGCAGGAAGGCGGCGGGGTCGGGCGTGGCGCGCGGCGCGCTCAGCGTGGCCTGCAGCGGCAGCAGGCGCGCGTAGTGCCCGATTGCCAGCGACACCCGGCGGTGGTACACGAGCAGCAGCGGGGGCTGGGTGAAGATGAGGATGAGGGAGGCGGTGTACGACTTCTTGCTTGCCAGCACCTGCGACACGCATGGGGTGGCGGGCAGGGCAGGGGAGGGCAGAGGAAAGGGACGCGCCGGTCAGCTTCACGCTCGCGCGGCCCCCAGCAGCACGCGTGACAGGTGGCCTGGCTTGTGGAGCAGGGGCAGTGAAGGGCGGCGGGCGCGGATCCACGACTGTGATGCCTCCCAGCAACAGACCATGTGAGCGCAGCCAGGTGGCCCACGCTCAATGCTCACCAGGCTGGTGAAGAGGCTGAACAGCACCTGCAGCAGGCAGGCGGCAGCAGCACACCTCAGGCTAGGTTGCAGAGGTCAAGAGATCGCGACAGGCCAGAGCAGGCAGAGGGCGGGCGGCCAGTTGGGCGCCTCGCCGGTCCCCTCCCACCCCACACGACCACGCCGCCAACACGCTCCACTCTGGTACTGCCGCTGGTACCACCCACCAGGGTCCAGACCATGAGGGTGAAGAGCGTCTCGAAGATGCGCCCCCCAGACTCGTAGCTTCGCTCGTAAAAGTAGATGCAGCAGTAGCGCCACGTGACCTGCATGCAGGCGGGCGCCAGGTTGGCAGGCAGTGCCATGCATGCCGACGAGGCCGCGGCACATGCGCAGCAGTTTGCTCTGCGCTGGCGCTGGCGCTGCTTGCACTGCGACATTGCGTGGACACACACAGCACACCGCCCTGCAACAAGCGCCGAGCCGAGGAGGGCACCCACCCAGGCTGTGAGGAAGAAGCCCAGGGCCGCGGGCAGCACCAGCGGCGCGATGACGGCATACGAGAGAGCCATGATCTGCAGGCGGGGGTAGGCAGCGGCGGGGGATGCCAATGCATGACATCTCTCTGGTAACCTGCACACGCATGCTGTGCTTTCAGCAGGCGGCCCTCAGGCACGTGACAGTGCCGCCGGGCGCGCCAGGCGCGTGGTGCAGCCTTGCCATTATGAGCTGGAAGGAGCCAAAGTGGCGTCCGCCGCGGAAGGAGGGCGCGGTGCGGATCATCGTGTGGTCCCGCTCGCACTTGGGCAGGCACATGCCCAGCCAGCGGAAGATCACAAACAGCACGGTGCCCTCGTGGGGCCTGCATCGTCAGCGTGGGCCCACAGCCGCACCCCAGGCGCTTGCCCTGTCAGTCGGGGGAGGCTGGGGAGCCGAAGAGGCACGCGGGCCTCCAGCAGCACAGCGCAGGCAGTGCAGCGCAGCCCAGCGCACCAGATGAAGCGGAAGAAGTTGGTGCACAGGGCGTGGATGATGATGTAGTTAAGAAAGTAGGTGCTGGCAGAGGGCAGCGCGGCACCCAGCATCTGCAGCCAGTAGCCTGCAGGGCGCGCGGCATGCGGGGGGGCTCGGTGCATCGCACACCACGCGGCGGCGGCAAGGCGGCGCAGGGAGGCATGGGTGCGGCGCGGCGACAGCAGCCGCCCCCCAGGCTGCCAGCTGCTGGCAGGCAGCCCAGCGCGTCTGCACTACAAGCGGGCCGCCGCACCTGGCTCCTTTGTGAGCGAGCCGATTTGCTGGAAGACGGCGCCGCCCAGCACGCTGCCCAGGAAGGTGTTGAAGATGTCGAAGCAGAAGAAGAGAATGACGACGCGGTGGTCCAGGTCGCTGAGGGCCAGGTGGCGGGCCTCCGACTGCACATGGTGCGTGTGGCGGCATACGGCGGCAGAGGTGCAGCAGCGGAGGAGGGACAGTGGGCGAGGGCGGAGTTGGGAGGGTTGGAGCGGTGGGCAGGCGGGCGGGGTGCGTGTGGCGGCATACGGCGGCAGAGGTGCAGCAGCGGAGGAGGGACAGTGGGCGAGGGCGGAGTTGGGAGGGTTGGAGCGGTGGGCAGGCGGGCGAAACAGCCACATGCAAGCCGGGCACAGCCGCGGCGGCAAAACGGTGGCAAGGCAAGGTCCCACATCTGCCGGCGCTCCTGGGCTGGAGGCAGCGCCATTGATGCGCCTACCTGGGAGGAGAAGAAGAAGGCCATGGGCAGCACATCTGCAGGCAGACAGGCAGCCAGCCAGTCACACGGTGTGATCTGATCAGGGACGACACATCACTCCTGCCAGGTTCCTGCCAGGAGTGCATCATCATGCTGGGCAGCAGGCCACTCACAGGTGTCCCAAGTCATGGAGATGATGGAGGGGAGCAGGCCTGCAGCAGCGGCATCCCAGCAGCAGCGTGAAGGAAGGGTCCGGAGCAGCAGGCGCCGGCTTCGCCCTGCCACGCTGGCACCCCTGATGCGACCCTGTCTGTGAGCGCTCGTCGTGTGGTGCTGGGCGGCAGGGTTGGTCCCCGCAGGCGGGCCACTCGCCTTCCAGGATCTCCTTCAGAAACTTGGAACCCGCGTCGTCTCCTTCGCAGTACCACGGCCAGTACAGGTTGTTGGTCTCTGCGGCGGGCATAGCAGGCGCAGCGGGCATAGCAGGATGAGTTACGTAGCCTGCCATGCTCGCAGCGACATACATCGGCGAGCCGCAGCTCAAGAGGCAGCAGCGGCCAGCGGGCCCGACCGCCTACGCACGCGACGAGCCGCTGCACACGGCTGTGGACAGGTTGGTCAGCGCGCCAGTCAGCACTCCGATGGGGAAGACAATGACCAGCACCAGAAAGGGGATGACATACAGGGCCCGCAGCATGCGCTGCAGCAGGCACGCAGGGCAGGCAGGCGGGTAAGACGGGCCATAGGATCTGAGGGGATCGGCAGGGGATCTGCCGCAGGGACGAGGCAAGCAGGCACGGCTGTGGGGCAACCCAGCATGTGGCCACCCAGCGCGCCAGGGACATCCACGTGCCTGGCCCCAGGGCGTCCACAGCGCCATCCAGTTGATGTTGTCTGGCCCCGGGCAGGGGCGCACATTGAAGTTGATGGCGGGCACGAAGCTGGCCTGGACAAACGCCGCCAGCGCAGCAGACGTCTGGTCGCTGCGGGGCACACACACAAGGGAGCTGTGGGTCGGGATTGGCGAGGCGAGGCTTCCGAACCGTCAGCCAACGACCCAAAGCCGGCACTGCCCTTTGTGCATGCACCCTGCACCCTGTGCCTGCCTGCCGCACCTCCCCAGGTGCTGGCTGCTGCCAGGGACCCGCACCTGAACAGCGCAATGAAGGCGGTGCCGAGGGGCTGCTCCAGGGCAGCCTGGCGCGCCACCTCCACCTGCCCCTCCAGCTCCCCCACCCTCTCCTCCGCCTTTGCCAGCTCAGCCTCTGCCCGCTCCAGCCTGGCGGCCGCCTTGGCCGCGCCGCCCTTGCCCTGCGCCGCGTCAGCCTTGCCGCGAGCGGCGGCGAGGGCCGTCACGCACCGGTCGCGGTGCGAGGCCGCCGCCTCGTGCTGGCTCAGCAGCTTGTCCACGGCCTTGTGGTTGTACACCCGCACCAGCTGGGTGAAGGAGTCTGGGAAGATGTCCTGCAGGGGACCAGGACACGCAGGCGGCGGGGTGTGCATGCAGCCATGCCGCCGGGGCATTTCAGCTGCGGGCCGGGCCGGGCTGGCAGGCCACACATGCCGCGCCCCGCTGCACACAAACGCCGCCGGCAGCGGCAGGCGCGCGGCCAGCTGCCCGCAGCAGCCGCCAGGAGGCAGCGGCGCCGCGGCCAGGCGCAGCCCCGCCGCACCTGCAGCGCCTGCGCCAGCTTGGCGGCCACAAACTCCGCGCCCTTTCCCGCCTTCTGCCCGTCACCGGACTGCAGCAGCACCGTGTGGCTGGGCGAGCTGAGCTCGACACCCGGCTTGCCGCCGTCCCCGCGTGCCGGCACCACAACGACCGCCTTGGCGGCATCGACAAGCACGGCCTCCGGGGCCGGCGCTGGGGCGGGGCGCAGCAGGCGCCACAGCTCGCTGCAGAGGCACAGAGGGAAGCGACACGCGGCGGTGCGACTTGAGCATCCAGCCAGCATGAAGCGAGGGCGCGGCCTGCCAACACGGCATGCAATTCCCTTCTCTGTGCACAGCTGGCAGGCGAGCGCCCAGCCAGCAGGCTGCCCCACCTGGAGGGCGGCGGGCCGGCAATGGTGAACAGCACCGAGTACTGCTCCACACACACCCACACCGGCGGCTGCCCCGCCGCCGCCTCGCTGAGCACGCGCTTGCGGTTGATGGGACTGGTCTTGCCGTGCAGCACGGCGCCGCTGCTGCGCTCCACTGCGGGCAGGGTGGGGTGAGGGCGTGGCGCGACGCAGCAGGTGTCGGGCAGAGGGCGTGGGGCCGATGAGCCCATGCTGCTGGATATCTTCGTAACCAGCTCATGCTCACCACTCCACACACACAAAAACTCCACCCTCGCCACCACCCACCCACACATCCACTCACCCGAATACTGGGCAGGGATCTTTTCCGGTGGCAGCCACCAGGGCAGCACCGCGGCCTTGGCATACTCCTGATCATCCCCGTCGCTGTCCAGCCCCTTTCCGCCGTCGCCCGCACCCGTGCTGTCCTTGGCCTCCCGCGCCGCGTCCAGGGTGGCAGCTGCCTCTGCGGCGGCGTTCTGCTCGAGGTACTGCTTAACATACCGCATGTCCCGTCGCATCATCTGCGGTACAGGAGGTAAACGTGGTGGTGCATGTGTTGTGGTGGTGTGGGCGCAGCCTTAGCACCGCTGTGGTAGGCACCCACGGCAAAGCCAGGCTGGCAGGGCTCACGTAGAGGGGGCTGCTCAGGGCCCACAGCGAGTCCCTCACAGCGGCCCAGCCGCGGCGCTCAAACCCGACGATGTGCATTCGTGGAGCGCCACCTGCAGCAGGAGGTCAGCTTGGGCACGCATGGAAAATATGTGCGAACACCGGATAAGCAGGCTGGACAAGAAGGCGACGCAACAAGAGGGAAGCATGCCGTGAAGTGCAGAAGCCAGGGGCCAGGCGCCGCGGCGGCGCAGGCCACACTCGCCCGCCGCGTGGAGCGAGTTGTGGCGCAGGTGCAGCAGGCGCAGCATGGCGTAGCTCTTGTAGTGCTGGATCAGGCAGTATCCGGTCCATGCCAGCACGGCGTAGCTCAGGACAAAGGGAGCCCTGCAGGGGGTGGGAGGGCAAGAGCTCTGGGAGGGGACCTTTGCTGTGTAGATTGGTGCAGCAGGGCGGCAGCGACAGTGCAGCAGGCACAGCCTGGCGCAGAGCCACTGCCGGCTGGTACTGCCAGCCCTCAGCGGCAGGCGTGCCACCGGCTGGCGTCCGCGGCGTGCGGCGCCGCACCAGAGCTTGCTGGAGCCGGGCTGGATGTTGCTCAGGGTGTAGCGCATGATGCCCACCAGGTTTGTCGCATAGCTAGTGTCCACATACGTGCCCGTCATGCACAGCGGCAGCACTGCGCAGCGCAGCACACAAGCAGGTTTGTGAGGGAGGCGGCTGCAGGAGCAAAGCTGTGACAACAGACATCGCTGTGCAGCAGCTGTGGCGGGGCTGGGATAAGCGACGGAGGAGCAGCAGCGGCAATGCACCAGCCCACTCACAGACAGCGCAGCAGACGATTGTCATTGGCAGAAATATCTGGAAGCCCAGAACCAGGAAGCGGCAGAGAATCTGCAGGGGGGTGGGATGAGCAGCAAGCAGGCACAGCCCAGTGTCTTAACAGCGGCACAGGCAGCCACAGGCAGCCACAGGCAGCAGCTCACCAAGGCATCCAGCCCAGCCGTCTGCACAAACTCGAGGTCGTTGATGAAGAAGACGGGTGGGATGTAACCAAAGCAGATGTTGAGCAGGCCGTCAAAGCACAGGGGCGGCGGCCGCGCTTGCGCGTCGGGCAGCTGGGTGCGCTTCAGGAAGATGTGGCGCAGCGGCTTGCGGAAGATGGCCCAGCAGATGAGGAAGCAGGCGCCGCCAACGGCGGAGACGTAGATGGATGTGACCACCTCCGAGGCGGTCACCGTCTCGCCGTACGACTCCTCATCCACCAGCGACTCCGAGGGGGCAGGAGCCGAGGCCATGGCAGCGGGCAGCACGCGGCGGCAGGGCTGGGTGGGTGGCGGCGGCGGCGGCGGGGGCGGTCGCTTGGCCTGTTCGCTGCCTCCCGCAGGCGATAGCGTCTGCCGTCTCTGCTAGCGTGTTTTGGAGCAAAGCCGGCCTCTACAGTGGCGATGCTGTTGTTACCGACACAGGTGACGTCTGCCCCAGAGGGCGATGGCGCGTGAAGATTTACTTGCCGTCGAGCGAACAGAGACAGCCACAAAATGCGCCCCTCTTCTGCCTCCAGATGTGCCCGTCCTAGGGTTTGAACACCGCGAAAGCGGGGGTGCGGAGCCTGGAGTGAAAAGGGTACAGCACTGTGGCCACGAGGAGACGCATGGCACGATCGAGTGACTCAGGGAGCCAGGGCCGCGGCGCCCCGCCTGCTGCGCCCGCCTGGCCGCTGGCGCTTCCCACCAAGGGGTCCCCTGCTGCAACATGCAATAATTCACCAACAGACCCACACTATCAGATCTGGTCATGGTCAGTGCATCTGTTTCCCGGCCTGTGCCTTCCACACTTGCCGTCAATTGCGAAATGGCGGTGCCGGGCAGGGGTGCCGCAGCTGTGCCCGCTGAGCTTGGACTCTTTGAGGCCCCACGTCATGCGGAACAGTGTGATTACAACGGGGGGCTCAAAAGAGCGGAAACATGCAAAGACAAGCACAAGGGGCCGACCCGCATTGCTGCAGCACAGCCTGCCGCTGCCACAGCGTGGCCGGTGAGGCAAACAAATCACGAGCAGAGCAGAGCGCAAAACGTACATAAGCATGAAAGAAGACAACAATAAGGTTTTTGGCACTTGGATTGGGCTGCCACTGACGAGCTGGAGCGCCTGGCCTTCATGCTGCAGAGTAGGGCGAGGCGGGGTGCAGGTGTGAGACGCGCCTGTCCCGGCCAGATGCGCCAGCAGTGGTGCAGCAGCACATCGGCGCACAGCACAGCACGCACGGGAGCAGCAGCCCTTACCAAAGCCAAAGCCCTCGGAGCCCTCGTGGATGGCAGTGAGGAGGCGCTCCCTGCACACACACAGCAGCAGGGTGGGTCAACGAGAGGTCCGCCAGTGCTGCTGCTGCCCACAGCGCGACAGGCATGCCGTACAGGCGGGCCCACCTCAGCTGCCCCTTGCTCTCATACTCAATCAGGTCCAGCTGGTTGAAGCAGGTGTGGGCTGCACACACACAGGCAGGACAAAGTGTGCAAGGGGGGGACAAGATGGGGGACAAGATGAATGAATGCGGCAGCCGGATGATGATGGCAGGAGTGAAGCAGGCACTGGCTGCCGTGGCGCCCTGAAGGAGCAGCCAGAAGCGGTGGGGCCTGGCTGGCAAGCTGCAGAGGACCACACCCACCCGAGGGCAGGCGCTCGGTGGGGCCGTAGGCCTTGTGTATCTGGAACTTCTGGGGGCCATGCACCCCTTGCAGCGCCTTGAACCCGTCCAGCGGCACCTTGGAGGTGCCTGTAGGACGCAGAGGGCGGGGCAAAGGAATGCGTGAGGGCGGGGCAGGCCAGGCGGCGTCTTGCGAGGAGCATGCCAGGCTGCGAAGCGGAAGCTTTCGCCCAAACAGCTGCAGCCGTGCACAGCCGCGTCGTTGCTGCCACGGCACGCACCCGTCACAAACTGCACCAGCAGCGCCAGGTCCTGTTTGTCCATCTCCCGAACCAGCTCCCAGAACCACTGAACCACGGGGCTGGCCGCCGTGAAGCCTGCAGGGGTGCGCAAGAAGGCCAGGTTGGATGCGGGTGAGCGGGCGCTGGCAAGGGTGGTGGCAGGCACGGGTCCCAGGTTGCCCTGCGCCCCCGGCACACAGGCACACGCCCGCCAACGCCTCTCCCTCCCTCTCTCCCACCACCCCACCCCACCCACCCGAGTACTCTGTGTTCCCCCGCAGGTCGTCCACATCGATCTCCGGCAGCCCGCTGATCAGCAGCTCCAGCTCGTGGTCGTTGAAGATGCTGCGGCGGTGGGCACGGGCAGAGAAGAAAGGAAGAGAAAAGAAAGACTAAGAAAACATCGGGCGGGCGTGTGGGGTGGCTTTTGTCGCGGGTGGGTGCGTGTGCGACCGCGCTGGCAGCAAGGGCCGACCCAGGCGCCCACCTGATGAGCTTGCGCGGCACCATCTCCCAGAAGCCACTGAGGAAGGCGTCGATCTGGGGGCGGATGGCGGTGGTCATGCGGTGGCGCGCCACCAGGTTCACGTACTCCCGCTTGTTGTCGTTCGTGACCTGCAGGGAGGAGGGGGGCAGGTGGCGGGAGGGAAGGGAGAGTGTGTGTGGTTGTGTGTGTTTGCCTGTGATGTGTATCTGTGGCTGGGCGTCTGTTGTGTGTGGTGGTTTGGGGGGTCAAGAGGGCGGGGCGCTGGGGTGGGCGTGTGGATGCCACGCGGGTGCGAGGAGGTGGCGGCGTGCACCCCACACACCTGCACTAGCCCTTGCCCCCCTGCCTTGCGCCTCGCCACTGATGGACATGCGGGGCGCCCCCACCACCCCTGCTGGGCACCCTGCAGCCAGCCCACCCACCTTGATGTCCTTGCCCCCCGCCCTGAGCTCCACCACGCTCTTCCTCCCAAAGTAGTCGGTCTCCTCGGCAAAGGTCAGGTCCAGCACGTCGGTGATGTCGTTCTCCAGCATCCACCTGAGGAAGCGCATGGGTGTGTGAGTGTGTGAGTTGGCGCAAGCATGCGCGCGCGCGCGCGCGCGTGTGTGTGTGTGTGTGTGGCCCACCCTGCCCCACCCCACCCCACCCCACCGCGCCCCCCCCACCTGAGTGTGCGGTAGAAGTCTGGGTCCACCGCCTCGATGTCCTCGTACGTCAGCGCCTGCCCCAGCACGTGCTTGTAGAAGGAGCGGGTGAAGTGGGCGTCCACCAGCTGGCCGTCGTACAGGGCCTGGGGGCAGCGCGGGTGGGTGGGGGATGGAGTTGTTAGCTGTTGCTGTTGTTGTTGCTGGTGGTGATGGTGCCAGGCTGGCGCGATCGTGCGTTGTTTTGGGGGTGAAGCGGCAGGTGCGGGGTTGCGATGAGCGCGCGCGGCATCCCGTGCAGCCTAGCGCTCGCAGCCGCCCTGCTGCCGCTCCGCCTTGCTGCAGCGCCGCTGTGGACAGCAGGCCAGCTGCGGCGTGGTCGGTGCACTGCCGCCACGCTGCCAGCTGCTGCCCCCACCGGCTGCCGCGCGGGCTCTCACCTTGGCCACCACGCGGCCCACAAACTTGAAGAAGTCGAGATGGTTGGTGCCGCGCGCCTCGTCGTTTTGGATGATGGAGTTGGGGTTGGGCTGCGGGCAGAGGGCAGGTGCGTGTGTGTGTGTGTGTGTGTGTGTGTGTGTGTGAGAGCGAGAGAGAGAGAGTGAGAGTGGCGGTGGTGGCAGAGGCAAGGATGCCAGCAGGGGAAGGGGGAGCTGCGAGGAGGGCCGACGCCTCGCACGGCAGCTGGGCGACGCATGACAG